AGGGTTGTTAGACTATATTTTAGGGTTGTTACAGCTTTATGATGAAATGGCTTATTATCATTATTATTTAATTACCATCAAATAGTACATTTTATGTTTGGTAGAATTCCTTGCCTGGCATAGTAAGAATCACTTGTGCTTTGTTGTAATTAGTATTTTGATGTCGTGTCATTTTCTGTTGTTTTTCTTTAAACATATATCTTTATATTTGTGATCTGTTGTTTGCAGCATATAGTTAGATCTTGTTATTTTACTTAATTTGAGAATCTGGCTCAACTCCCCCCAGCTATTTCCCTTTCTTTGAATCTTCATGGCTTCATCCATGCTAGGCAAGTACTTTGCTAGTAAGCTATGCTTCTAGCCCACATTTTGCTTTTCCTGCGATATTTAATGTTGTTATTGATTGATGCTTTTTATTTGTCCCACCGTTAAAATGGTTTCTTTTCTTCTTTCTTTTGGATTAAGTTTTTAAAATTCTGCTTATAAGAGCTGTTAGCTTATTATACTTCCAGAGAGTTTGATACATACTTTAAATTTATACCTTCAAATAGCTGCTATTTCACCTATAAGACTGATTGTCAATTTTCATTTCCCTTCTTTATGTCATTTTACTTCTTCATTGTAAATGCTACAACATATTAAGTTTTAAGCAATAGCTTTTAAAATATGTGCTTGTTGCTGGGTAGTGATGGCCTTTAGTCCCAGCACTCACGAAGCAGAGGCAGGTGGATCTCTGTGAGTTTGAGGCCAGCCTGGTCTACAGAATGAGTTTCAGGACAGCCAAGGCTACACAGAGAAACCCTGTCTTGAAAAAACAAAACAAACAGAATGTCCTTGTTTTGAAGTTTCATTAGAGCAGAGTTAAATGAACTTAAAGACATGGCCTTCTAGATCTCCCTTTGAGTCTTCAGTAGGTCATTCTCTTCTCTACAAAATAAAAAAACACAAGTCGCCAACCCCCCTAAAGTTCTTTGTACCTTTGTGGAATTTTACCGTGAGATGGGAGCTTGGTATTCAGAGAGAACTAAGGAATTCCCTATGTGAGCCCGAGAGTCCTCCTTCCTATTTCCCCCCCCCCCCCCCCGGGGAACCAGGATGGTGCTCTCCTCAGTTTAGCAAAAGTGACATATTCTGCCAGGCTTCTCCCTTCATTTGCTGTGGTCAGAATGTGCCATGAAGCACAAGTTAGGAGATTGTTCAGTTTACTCCTTTATAAATTAGCAGACAGTAGAGTTTACTTCATTGAAAGTTCAGAGAGTGTAGAATTTATTTTATTGGTTTGTGATTCCATCTCTCAAAGACTACTTGCTGTCCCTAGCTCTGTGTAGTTCAACAATATATACCCCCCCACCCACATATGCACTCTTCCAGATGTTTACTATAGTGAATGGACAAATCTGGTAATCTTCATTCTTGTGTCTCACTGTGTGGACCAACCTGGCCTTGAACTCACAGATCTATCTGCATGTACCCATGGCCCTCTTTTAAGACTTTAATCTAGACATTTTTCTTCATATCTGTTTTCTTGTAACTTTTATTGAAGAAATTGTGTTGACTCAGTCCAGGTTTTGCTGAGGGCATACCATCATATAATTTGGTGTCTTTTTCTGTTTTACATCTTATAAAGTACAAATATAAAGCAGTTGATTCTAGAATAAGATATCTTTGGAGGCTGGCTAACTCTGTTAAGAGTGGGCTGTCCTATACTTAAATGTATTTAGCATGTCCGTGGCCTTTACCCACTAGATGTCAGTAGAACCCCTTCCTCAGTTGTGATGACTAAAAATGACTCCAGATGTCAAGTGCTTTTAGGGCCATGATCTGCTATGAAAAATTGAAGCTGCCTAAAGTACACGACCTACTTCAGGAATGTGAAAACATCTGCTTAACAATCAAGTGATACCACCATTTTAGATAGGAATATAATTATTCAGCATAGTACCATAGACATTCTTAAGAGAATGTATGAAAAAAATTAGAAATGTATAAGTTGATGCTTCACAGAATGGGTGGTGATTTACAGGCAACTAAAGAAAGTGAATTACCATTTTAGAAGAGAAAAATGTTAGAAACAATTATAACAGATAATGGTAGAAACACAAATAATTTCTTTTCCAATTATAGGTTGCTTACAGAATGTTTTTCTGCAACTTGTTGAACAATTTGAAATGTTGCATTTCTGCAGTAGATCCAAAGATGGATTTTACTTTTGAGAGGTGGGTTTTATAATAAACCAATAATTTTATGTAGAAGTGTATTATTTCAGTATTGTACTTTTTATGCTTAAACTTATTTGTGTTATATAAAGTTACTTTAAAATATAAACCAGGATGCTGGGCAGTGGTGGCACATGCCCTTAAACCCAGAACTCAGGAAGCAGAGGCAAGTGTATCTCTGTTAGTTTAAGGCCAGCTTGGTCTATGGAGCGAGTTCCAGGACAAGCTCCAAAGCTACACAGAAACCCTGTGTTGAAGAAAATAAGGAAGGAAGGAAGGAAGGAAGGAAGGAAGGAAGGAAGGAAGGAAGGAAGGAAGGAAGGAAGGAAGGAGAAAGAAGATGTAAACTAGGAAAGATTTATAAGGTAACCCTTTCAACTTAAAAATGGACTTATTTTTATGAGCATTTGCAAATATCCTTTGGATGAAGAATGGTAGCTAATATATGTTAGACGATTGAAGGATTAAGATTGTAAGATACCAGAATTTCCCATGAACAACCCTACATATGTAACCATCTCATATTCATTGATCTTTTTTGTGTCAGGTTCTGTGGACAGTAGTTGGCTGTTTGGATAAGGGTGGGAGTTGAGTCAGATCTACTGTAGAAAATGTAAACAACCATTCAGGGCAGATAGAGCCTTTTTGTTGGTTTTCATGACAGGGTTTCTCTATGTAGCCCTGCCTGTCCTGGAATTCACTCTGTAGATCAGGCTGACCATGAACTCACAGAGATTCCCTGCCTCTGCCTCCGGCTGGGATTAAAGGTGTGTGCCACATACTTTCTTCTCTTGATGTAATTGGCCTTGAGAATCTGTTCTGCTGTTGGTATTCTTCAGTTTTGAGTGCCCTGTGGCTTCATGAGTTGTTCATGCTGCTGCATTATTCTTCTCCAATGTTGTTTACAGAATTTTTTTTACATGTCTTAGATATTATTATTGCTTTCAATTTTGATATAGTTAAATTTGGAGCCTTATGAGTACATTTTAAACAATTAAATAGGAAAGACAAAAAACTGTGACACTAAGTGACCAAGGAGTACCTCTGTTCTCTACTTGTTTTTTGCTAGGTAACAACTCAACCTCTACATTGATCCCCCTCCCCCGCCCCAATTCTGTGCCTCCCCCTCTTTTCTCTGGCTGTTGGAGTCTACTGTTCTAGCTTCCTTATCTACAATTCCATCTTATACTTTTTCATTCCCTGTCTCCTGTTTTTTCCTCCCCCTTCTCTCCACAGTTGTCTTTCTCACACCTTATACACTTCTGTCTTTCTCCTGACTCCTGGTGCCCCTTTCTCTCTACCAGATACTCGTTCATCTTATTGGTCAGTGACAAAACCAGGTGCATTTAAATCAGAACACTGTCTTCTTTTTCGTTGGTTGCATGGGGGTGATTGGTGGTGTGTGGGAAGTCAGTGAGATATGTTCTTATGTAGCCCCGACTGGCCTGCAACTCAGGTAGCAGAGACTGTTGATCTACCTGCCTTTATCTCCTGAATGCTAGGATTACAGGAGTGTACCACCAAGCTCAACTCAGTCTTCTCAGTGGAATGACCGATAAGTACAAAGAGAATTGAATAAAACAAGCGAGGGGGGTATTTGAGTTAGTAAAAGGACTTCCTAACATTTCCTCCCCAAATGTGTGCTTTTAACTTTAGCTGTTCCATCCTAACACCCTTTATCCTTGAGGATGCCTTTCCTCTTAGCTCACTTTACAAGTTCAGATCACATCAGTTTCCATGCTGAAAGTCTTTAGTACATTTTTTCCCCAATGCAATTAAAAGGTACTATAATTTTAGGGTTTCCTGAATACTTGTGGCATAAACTTGGTAGTGTTAAAAACCCAGTGTGGATCTAAAGTAACCAAGCAATTGCATTTTTTCCCCTCCAAGTTACACCAAAGGGGCTGTATTTCTTGTAACAATTGGAAGACAATAAGTGTCTCTTTTTCACAGTTTTCTCTTGTCTCAGTGCCCCACTTGTTTGCCCTGTGGCATTCGCCTCTTATTTTCTGGTCTCCTTTGGTCCCTCTCTTTTCTTCCTTCTGTCTTTCTTTGTTTCTCCTTTGGTTTTTGTTACCTTAACTCTACACCCGCAGTTTCTTTCCACCTTTCCTCACATTGCCCTCCATCCTTTCTCTCCCACATCGGATCATTTTTCTATGTCCCCACTATTCCCTCAGGTACCCTCCCCGTGTTTTCCTCTCCGTGTGCTGAAATTCTGGGGACCCTTTGAATTTTTGTTGGATTTTTTTTTTTTTTTTTTTTTTTTTTTTTTTGAGGCAGGTTTTTCTGTGTAACACACAGAGTTTCTCTCTGTATCAGCTCTGTATCAGCTCTGGCTGTCCTGGAACTAGCTCTGTAGACCAGGCTGGCCTCAAACTCTGCCTGGCAATTGCTGGGATTAAAGGCGTGAACCATCACCTCGCCACCACCGCGCAAGCCAGTTGTAGCTCATTCCTTTGGAAAGGTGTTGGGCTAGGTTGTGTTACTTATCACCTGTGAGCCTTCATCTCCCTCTTTTATCACTCGGGGGTTGTCAATGGGGGATGAAAGTGGTCCAGGAAATACAGATTCATCATTCGAGACCGCTCATCAGCCAAATCCAGTTCTCAGGTGACTTTTCCTGACAAAAATTGTTGACAGACTATCACACCCTGGGCTCCTCTACCTGCTGTGTGCGCTGCCCCCGCCCCCGCGCCTGTGAGCCAATGGTCTGGGCTCCAGGGGGTGGGCTGAGGCGGGATGAGGGTGGGGTCAGGGCGGAGAAGCTCTGCTGCAGCTGCCTGGCTGCAGTGCTGCCTTAGCCCGGCATGGGGGATGGAGGCAGCAAGTTTCAGCTCTAAGCGGCCACCGCCGCAAGGCCGTGAGAGGAGTTCTGGAGTCGGCACGGGGGATACAGGATGGAGCCCCGGGGTGAGTGAGGGGCGGTGGTGCTCGTTCTCACTGAGGCTGCTGGGTTGGGGATCCTGTGAAAATATCTGGGTTTGAATATGAGCTTTGGACCTGGACTGTGAGCACCGACGCCGACCTGCAGGGGTGAGCAGCCGGTGAGGTGACCCAAGTGAAGACGGGAGCATATTTTCCTACCCGAGTACTGAAACTTCACACCTTGTAACTCCTTTAATTCTCGGGACAGGTCCATGACCCTTCAGCTCATTTCTCACACAGGAAAGGTGAGGTTAAAAGCTGTCCAAACAGAGAGGTGGTTGACAGTATCAAGGCTTAAACCTAGGCGCCCTTGTGACAATCCCTGCTCTTGAGCAGCCTGCTCCCACCAACCCGCCTGCAATTCTCACTCAAGTTGGGTGCTCAGTTCCAAGGTATTTTAGGCGTTCCATCGTGCGTATTGTTCTCATCTGTTTTGTCTTTAGAGGGGTTTTTCTTTTTGAGCGCACCCCAGTGTCGTGGTGTGTTCTAATTCTGCCTTGGATATTTTTGGAGGTTTGATGGTTTTAATTTTAAAATGTTTTAGGAGGTATGTGCTCAGGATTGAAGGGGGATTTCTAGTGGCTGATGACAGTTTCTGCTTATCAGTTTTTCACTCTTGAGAGAATTCACCAAACACTTTTTTGGAGAACAGGACGTCACCTGCTAAGGCTTTCGACTCTGTGCTTGTATCTCTTGTCTGTTGTGTCCTTTTGTCCGTCGCTATCAGTGTTTACCGTCCCTTTTCGTTTCTTTATTCTTTCCTCTGTATTTAAGTCAGGGATGGGGACCATGCACTTTGGCGTTGGGTAGTTTTTGGCTGGTCAGAAGTGAGCCTTCCCTGCCAGGAATGCTAAACATTCTGGAGGCGTAGGAGGCAGGGCAGCTTTTTTTTTTTTTTTTAATTCCTCCCCATTTTCTCCCACCCCCACCTTTTTTAATTTTTATTTTTAAATTATGCTGGGTTCAAACTGCACAATAACGAAATGTATATGTGTTGTATATCTTACTTTAGAAATTGTTAAGGGTAAAGCTGTTTCTGACATGTTCCTATTCCGTTTTTTGTAGCATGCTTTAAAAACGTATGAAGATCTTTAAACTTGACTCGTGTGGAGGCTTTTTTTTTCCCCCCCAGTGCCTTTGAGTAGATTCTCATAAACTCAGAAGTTATGCTGAAATAGCAGATTTCTGACGTTATACAACTTTTAAAGTTTAAGTAGTAAGATATTTGGGGGAGGTTTTACATTCCAGTTAGCTCTCTGTTCTATCATATACATTATGGAGTGTGTGAGGGCATTTTGATTGACACGGACTGCTGAAGACTAGTTAGAGTCGCCATTTGGGAGTTTAGGAAATTTGCGTGCACATTTTTTCCCTAGTGGTTAGTTGGGCCCAGGTCCGCCTGCCATGCTTTCCCATTGAGTCTGAATCCCCATTTGTCATGCACATATGATGTAGAGCTTAGAGTATACAAAGTAGGTTTTGTATGTTCATTTTCTACTCCCTATAAAATTCTTTCAGACATAGATAATGCAGTTTCTAATGTTTATGGCTTAGAGTTGGAAGAGAGGAGAATTAGTTTCACAAGTATTTTCGTTCAGCAGTCTGTTTGCACAGTTCAAACTTCAGTTGGAAGCATTTACTAGGTTTCCATGAAATCAGTTAAGCTTTTGGAATTGTTTCCAGTCCTATATTTCTTGTTTACAGTCTATAGACTTATGAAGCCACAGCTTGTTTATTACTTAAATATGCTTAAGAACAATTTCCCACAATAAAGTACTCTGGTAATAATAGTCACAATTACTGAGTCTTCATGCCAGGCACTGTGCTAAGTACTTTCCATGCATTACTATCTAATTTAATTAAATTACCAGTTGCAATCTGTTATTAACTATACCTTATATTACCACTAACCAGAGAATATTCATTTGGCGCATGGGAAAGTAGTGTGTAGGATCTTGCAAAGTGTATATTGTCCAAACTTTCTCATTGTCATAGTTCAATTATGAAAGTGTGATTTTAATTTTAAATGTCTTTTCAATAGTAATGTTGAGAAAAATTATAAAAAACTTTCTAAAAATTTGTACATTTAGTATAATATATATTTAATATATTCGAATTCCGATGTGTGTTCGATTGTGTGTTAACAGATTTTCTAAGTCTGGTCTAAAAGTTAGAAGCCTTTTTGAAAGAGGGTTACAACTTTGAGTTGCTAATTTGACACAAATTGTTCCGTTCCTTTTACTCATGAATTGTTTTTAAACTTGTTACCTCTTTTAATTCTTCAAGTCTTTATCAGTGACTGTGATGAATTGTCTAGTTTACTAAATTTAAAGACTCCATAAATAAGCAGAAAGACTTTATTGTGTGAACTGCAAAGTTGATAAAGTTTGGTAGACAGTAGCCTTCTCAGTGATACATAAAAGATCTTCCCAGACTAGGTACTTGACTATTATTCTATTTATTTTTGTTAGTTGAAAGGGATACTTTAATATTAGTGACCCAAAATTGTCCTGGGTTCATTTTGGAAATTACACACTTAAGGAATAATTTGAGATTTAAAGCTAGTTTAAATATAAAAAAACATATGCTTAAATAATAATGAAATTGACAAAAGACATTGAGTAAAGAAATCTTTAAAACTATTAAAAAGTAATGAGGCATCCTATTTATATAATTAGAAGAAGTAATAATAGAAATAGAACTTTCAGGCCTAGGGTGATGGCACATGGCTTTAATCCCAGCACTTGGGATAGGAGGCAGAGGCAGGTGGATCTCTGTGAGTTCGAGGACAACCAGGGCTACTCAGAGAAACCCTGTCTTGAAAAAACAAAACTAAATAAAAGAAATGCAACTTTGATTTTTGTTTTATTTAATCTTGTGCCTTAATATAATTTCATATTCTTCTTTTTGAGAATGTTTTAGGGATAGAATTTTAAGTGATTTTCCCTTAAATATTACAGCATAGTTAATTTCCTGGTTTCTATAAAATTGTTACAATAAATTTACATGCCTATTCATTACTGTCCTTGCTAATTCGTTCATTTTGCAGATAGTTCAACATAGGCTATCACTAATATGCTTACTGTGTTATAAGCATAGAATACAAAGTTAGCAAACATTTATGGTCTTGATCATAGCCTAGACAAAGAATCATAGGATAAGCCATCTATTTGAACTATAGTAATATAAGGTAAAAGTTTTGGATACTACAGAAGGACTACTGGAGATTGTGTTTTGGTGTGGCATGCCAGTGCTATAGGAAGATTTCTTCTGACAGTGACTTTTGAGCTGACAGAGAAAGTAAACCAAGGAGGAAGGAGTGTCCAGGAAAATGAAACCTCAGGACCCTCAGCTAAAAAGAGATAGCTCAGAGCCTAAGAGAACACACTTCTCTTGTAGAAGTAAGTTTGGTTTCCAGTAGCCATGTGAGGCAGCACTGCCAGTAACTCCTGCTCCATGGGGATCTAGGCCAGTTTCTGTATATATATGTATGTGTGTATGTGTATGTATATGTATGCATACACATATAACTGAAAGTAAATAATAATAAAAGTAAATAAAACATGAAATAGAATAAGAATATATAAATGTATCACATGGGCCCTTATAATATGTGTTTTGTGAAACAAATGCATTTATACACGTACTATATATAAAAATGACAATGTGTATACTAGTTGTGCATAATTAATTTATGCTGTGTTTATAGTAAACAAACTGAAAATGAAAAGGGTGTGTGTGGCAAGATGTGAATCTAGATAATTTTGCAGAGGCAGGTGGGAGCCAGCTATCATTGTGGACCTCATAGATCATGGCATTTACTTATGTCCTTTTGAAAAGTATTGAGCAAAGAAGGAATACTAAGAGTATATGTTTTAGAGGTTCATGTCACAGAAATGGAAGTAGACACATCCTTAGGAAATTAGTATAGTAGCTTAATAAGAAATAATGGTAGTTCATTAGTATAGTAGCGGCGAAGGTAAGAGTGAATAGATGGATGGATGGATGGATGGATGGATGGATGGATAGGAAATTACAAAAAAATCTATTATGCTGATGTGTGAAAAACAATGTATTTTACATATAACAAAGGTTATTACTTGAAACTTTCCTCTGTTTATTACATGGAGGTTCAGTTTTCAGTCATTCTGAAAGTATCCAAATGCAGCATATTTGGAAAACTTTTTAATAATGTTTGAGCTAATTTAATTCCTTCTCCCCTCCCCCCTTAAATGAGACAGGATCTCTCTACATAGTCCTGGTGTCCTAAAACTTAGTATGTGTCCAGGCTGGCCTCGAACCCACAGAGATCTTCCTGCCTTCTGCCTTAGGAGTGCTAGGATTAAAGGTGCTACCACCACCCAGCCACCTCTCCCCTCTGTTGTTTCCTTTATGATTTCAAGAGATACAACTAAAATTAGGACTTTGAATTCTGGAACAATTATATAAAGATGAAAGACAAAAAAAAATTGAATTTCAATAGATTGGGATTAGATGTCTTAACAGAAAACTTTTCCATTTTGTGACCTCTTCATATAAGCCTGTAGATTAGTTGTATAGGTTACACATCTGGAATTACATATTTGGTATAAGTTTTTCCTTATACCAAATATTGCCCCTTTACTACATCATCCTGAAATTACAAAAAAAAAAATAATAATCTCATAATCACACATTTATTTGTCCAGTCATGGTAAAAGATTACTGGACATCTTTTGAGCTTCTTTCAATAAAGAAATGTTCTTGGCAAACTTTGATAAGCTAGCTAGATACATGTACATGTATATGCATTCTCAGAAAATTACTCTTAATTGAGCGAGTGTGCTGACTGAACACTTGTATATCATTCTTTCATCTGACTCTGGCAGTAATCTCTGGCACAGGTGGGGTCAGTATGTTCTCCATAAATGAGCATAGCACAGTGAAGAAATGATTTAACAGCTTGTGAGGTCACACAGTAAGTGGGAGATGAAGATTTGGGAAACATTTCTCTCAAAATATATTTCATCTTTAGTTTTGAAGACAAGTCTGCAAAGGGCAGATAGACCTTCTACTAAGTGATACATCGGAAGTATCTTTACAATTAAAAAAGAAAAACACTGTATCTTAAGAATTAAAGCCAGGGTCTGGAGAGATGGCTCAGCAGTTAAGAGCACTGGCTGCTCTTCCAGAGGACTCAGGTTCAATTCCCAGCACCCACATGACAGTTCACAATTGTCTATATAACTCCAGCTCCAGGGGATCTGGCATCTTCACAGAGACATACATGCAGGCAAAACACCAGTGCACATAAAATAAAAATAAATTATTTTTAAAAAGAAGTAAAGCCAAGTAATTATGAGCACAAATATATATGCATTTTAGCCTCTGAACCTCCGGTCCCTTGCAGTGTGAAATGAAAGAAAGGTAGTTTGCACATCCTAGGGATTGCTCATCATAGAAAGTTGTCAGAATTGTAGATGCTTAACAGAAGTTAAACACTTAACAGAAGTACAGTGTTTAAAACTAGAATGCTGAAGTGGAGGGTGGGATATTTGTGAAACCTAGTATGATGTTTCTTGGCTGATACAGTGTTTTTCTCCTCTCTTTTGTTTTTTTATCCCCTTAAGGATTTCAGTTTTTCTGACTGTTAAATGAGAGGATGATTGCTCACAAACAGAAAAAGGCAAAGAAAAAACGTGTTTGGGCATCAGGCCAACTCTCTGCTGCTATTACACCTTCTGAAATGGGGCTCAAGTCTGTAAGTTCCAACTCCGTTTTTGATCCGGAATACATCAAGGAGCTGGTGAATGATATCAGGAAGTTCTCCCATATGCTACTATATTTGAAAGAAGCTATCCTTTCAGGTTTGTTAACTGCTTTCTCAGTACTCTTACGGGCTAGTTTGTAAAAAAGTACCAGCCTAGTCATGGATAAATATGTGTACACTGGCAAGAACAGGGCATTCTTCGTTACTGATTTTATGACTCCCCCTCCCCCATGTTAAATGCTTACATTGTAAACAATTTTGTAATCAGATAACAGTACAATACATAATAAAAACCTTGTAAGGTGTGAGGGAACAAGAGTGCGCATATGCGCACACACATACTCTCTCCCTCTCACACACACACACACACACACACACACACACATAAACACACACATATTCAGTTTGGGTTTTGAGCAGTTGAGTATGTTTTATGTGGGCTCACTTGAAAATACTGGAGTTTTAACACTCCTGGTAACAGTAATGCACTTACTGATCTGTGATACGCAGATTAACACTTGTAATTTACATTGCTGACTCTTTTATCTAAAATTGGCTTTTCATATTTTTGTCAAAATTTAATCCAAATTTGACATTTGATTAATTTTTTTCTTAATAAATTTATGTTTTGATGATCTGTAATCTTGAAATAAGAAATCAGCACCTAATTTATTTTCTTGCCTAATTAAAATGGGTAATGAAGCATGAGGTTTGATTATATATCACTGACTTGACTGGAGAACCTAAGTCTTCCAACTATTAGTGCCACATTAATATCCACATTTGGCATCAGTGACAATTAGTGGTCCAGAGACCACCCTCTTCAGACACAGAGAGTGGACATTCCTGATGTTTATATGACCCCCTTGGGCCTTCATAGGAATTTACCAGATTTCAGTAAATATATTTGGGCATATAACTAGAACACTTACTTTCTAAAACCACATCTTGTACAGAATTTGTTTTCTTTCTAACTTAATTATAATTGTCAATTTGAAATTTCCTGAATAATAGACTGAAATAAAAGGTTCAAAATTTTAGTACTTAAATTTGCTCTTATATAAGAAATTGCATAAATATTATTAAGAAATTGCTCACAGTCCTGTTTATTTTTTAATAGCTTGATCCATGGATGATTGGATGGCAGTAAAGCTAGAAAGATCCCCTAAACACATTGTTATGCTCACAACACATCTAGACAAAATGACACACCTGCTGTTCACTCAAAGAAGTAAGGCTTCATAATAAAGCCTTGTTTTTAAATAGGTTACTTTTTAAGTTGTCATTTTTATTCTTTTTGGAATATAGTCCATTACTGATTGGTTTTAAAGGTTATCTACAATGGTATCTTAAGTAATATGTTATTTAGCTCAGCATATGGTAGGGTATAATTTAATTTTTCCAATTAAGTATGTTTTAGTTAATATGAATGAATTGTGTTAAAATTTCTATTGGTATTTATATTTCTTAGGAAATTTATATTTTTTCAAATCCACATCTTACATAGTTTTTCTTTATTTCACACATTTAAAATGGTGTTTTATATCAACTTGTATCAACTTTTTGTCTAAAAATTTGAGCTTCAACATGTGAGTAGATAGCTCAGAGTCAAAGAAGATTCTCAGTGGTTCTCAGTAAGAATAGAAAGGTGGTTATAAGTATAAGATACAGAAGGAGACTACTCTTTGAGATAAAAGGCTTCATTTAGGCGAGGTGGTGATGGTGTACACCTTTAATTCTGGCATCCAGGAGGCAGAGGCTGGGACAGACTTCTGAGTTCAAGCCTAACCTGCTCTACAAAGAGAGTGCAGGATAGTCAGGGCTACACAGAGAAACACTGTCTCGAAAAACAAAACCCCAAAAAAGGTATATGTGGAAGTAGATTCATTCAGTGAACTTGAATTTAAATGTTGGTGTGCACATTATTCTTTTAGTAAGAAAGTTAGCACTTAGACAATAGATTATTATTGAGTTTTTTAAATTGGGTTTTTTTTTTTTTTTTTTTTTTTAATGAATAAACAGCATCTAGTATGGCAGTTCCGTGGATAAAGTACTTGTCTCACAAGTATGACAATGAGAGTTTGGGTGCTCAGAACCCATATGGAAGCCAGGCAGACACAACGGCCTCCAGTGATTGGAGCTGGTGGCAAAGACAGGGCTTTAGGGACAAGCTGGCCAGCTGGACTGATGGTGACTGGTAAGCTGTGTTCAGTAGGATGCCCTCTGAACTTACAATTAAACAGCTCCTTAAAGTGAAAGATCTGAGGACTGAACCCGCACATACTCTGCCTAAGATAAGTGATAGAGTTTGATTTTCCTTCCACCATTATCTCCAAGGTGAGGTTCCCCTGTAGTCTTACACAAGTAGCAGGTGTGGAATTTTAAGTTTGAGATTTCTATCTAGTATCATTAAGGTATATTATGAATAATTATAAGGATAAATTGTGTATCTTATATTAAAAGGCAGAAGGTACTCACTTATGTACATGTACTTAATTATGTAGATTTATGTTTTCGTTTGTTTTGGTTTTTTGAAATAGGGTCTCTCTGTGTAGCCTTGGCTGTCCTGGAACTCACTCTGTAGACTAGGCTGGCCTCGAACTCAGAGATCCACCTGCCTCTGCCTCCTGAATGCTGGGATTAAAGGCTTGGGCCATGACCACCCCACTGATTTATATGTTTAATTATAAAGTAACATATAAGTAATATAAATCCTAAAAGTGGTTTTGTCTATGTGCATACCACATGTGGTAAGTGCTCACATGGACCAGAAAGGGTGTAGTGTGCTGCTGGGGCTAAAGTAGAATTGAGGAGCTACCTGATGTGGCTGCTGGGAACCAAGCCCAAGTCCTCTGCAAAGAGCAGCAAGCGCTCTTAACTGCGTAAGCTTTTTATGAAGTAATTGTAAAGTAGTTACATAGAAGGAATACTGCAGAATGACTAGTTTTTCTACTACTTCATGTTTGAAAGTATAGAATGCTATAAAATGTTTGTAGGAAAAACAAGTTGAGATTGTTCTTGTAACTTTGCTTTAGTTTATATAACACGATTTTAAATGGATTTTAATCAGAGTTTACCACTGTAATTACGGTTCCTTGTTCTCGTTTTTTGTTATGTTGCTGTTTTGTTTGAGACAGAGTCTTACTTTGAAGCTCGGGTTAAACTTGAACTAGTGACTCCTTTCTGAGCCTCTTAGTACTGGAGGTCACAAGTATACACCCCCTTTCACCTTCTCGGCCCTCCCCTCCCTTCTTTTGTTTATGTTTGTTTGTTTTTATTTTTTCTTATTTCACATATCGATCCCAGTTCCCTCTCCCTCCCTCCACCCCCCCCCCGGCCACCCTCCCCCCCACTACTTCACAGGGAAGGTAGTGCCTTCCAGGAGGAGTCAACAAAATCTGTCAAGTCATTTGGAGTAGGGACTAGGCCCTCCCTCCTGCCTCTAGGTTAAGGCAGTATGCCTCCATGGGGAATATGCTCCCAAAGTCCTTTTGTGCGCCAGGGATATATACTGGTTCTACTGTCAGAGGCACCTTAGATTGCCCAGGCCTTCTGGCTGAGACCCATGTTCAGGGGGTCTGAGTCAGTACAATGCTGGTTTCCCAGCTATCAGTGTGGGGGTCCATTGGCTCCTCCTTGTTCAGGTTGGATGGAAGACAGAAGTGTAGGATGCAGAGGCAGAGAGAGAGTTCTAGGATAGCCAGGGGCTACCCAGAGAAACCCTGTCTCGGGGAAAACAACCCAATAACAACATTCATTGTGAGAGTCAGATAAACTAGTTAAATTGTCAAATTACAAAAAAAAAAAAAAAAAAAAAAAAAACCTTTGGAGGCTGGAGAGATGACTCAGTGGGGTTAAGAACATTTGTTCTTTCAGAGGACCCAGGTTCAATACCAGCAGTGGCTCTCAACCATCTCTTACTCCAATTCCTGAGGGTCCAATCAATGCTAGATTCTAAAAGCATCAGGCACATGTGGTGTACAGATATACATACAGGCAAAACACTAACATAAGTGAATTATAAATTTAACTTTTAGAAAACCTTAAAATTTAGCCAGATGGTGGTGGTGCATGCCTTTAATCCCAGCACTTGGGAAGCAGAGGCAGGAAGATCTCTGTGAGTTCTAGGCCAGCCAGCTCTGTAGAGTGAGTTCCAGAACAGCTGGACTTATACAGAGAAACCCTGTCTTGAAAAACAAAACAAAAACTTAAAACCAAACTTTTATTTTGTAAAAAAAAAAAAAAAAAAAAACACCACTCTTGCCATAGTCAGAATAGGTAACAAAGTTTCTAAAGAAAATTTTATTGAATAACAGGCATTAAATAAAAGGCTAGTATGTTAAATAGTGTGGTGTGGTGTGATACACTCTACTTGAATTTGCAGTTTCAGTTGATACCCTGACTTGTAGGTTAACTCGTAGTTTTTCCCCACTGTGGTAAGTAAGGATATATAAGATCTTTCTCAGACTCTTCATTTTTACCCAACTGCAGCCTTGCACACTATCAGATTTGTAAGATACTAGAAATATTAAGCTGCTTTCCTTACAAAATGTGTTCTGTTCTGTATCTCCTAGGAGTAGATATCTTTAGACATAGTTTCAAATCTGTATCCCTAAGAGGTTAATGTGAATGTTGATTGGGTGTAGCTTAGTGACTAAAACATGTAAAATAAATCTCTCAAAAATAATGAGTGGAATACAAGTGGCTCATTTATTATATTTGTACCAATTCTTACGGTATTTTGGTCTTCTGCACTTGCCTAGAATGAATTTATAGACTTTAACAGCATAGTAGCAGCTTATATATTTGATGGATGTTAAAGCCTACTAAATCATGTATTGCATGGTATCTGCCATTAATCTATAACTTCTTTAACTGCATGGCAGTTTGTCATAAAGATTCAGAGCTTGGATGTGTGGTACGTGCCTGCAATCCCAAGACGTGGGAGGCTGAGGCAAGAGGATGGTAAATTCAAGGCTAGGTACTTAGCAAGAGGCTATCCCAGTAAAACAGCTACAAACTGTAGACAGATCCCTGCGCAGAGCCCTCCTGCTTCCTGCTGGTTATCTATACTCTGAATCAAGGTATTTCCGTTAAGAGCGGAGTCATTTCTTTATGAAAGATGGTAACAGTGCTGTATCACTGGGTCTCTGTTTATTGAGTTCTTACATGCTTTCGAATGTCAACTGTTCCTATTGGTAGAAAGCCACTGCTCCTCAGGGTTTACAGTTACCCTCTGTCAGAAGTCATTATAGCAAAAAGTAGAAGCTTGCCTCTGATAAGATTCGATACTTTTTTCCTTTGTTGTTTTCACTTTGTTCCCTTGAGAGAGCAAACTGAATTAACAAAACCTTTTTGTTTTTTTTTAAAGAATTGGTTATTTTTCTTATTTTCTTTTTCATGTATTTACTCAAGCATTTCCATGCAGTGTTTGCAGTATAAACACTGTGGTATTGTGTTAGTGCCTGAGAACCAAAAGGTTTCGCTTAATTAGTTGAATATAGCAAAAAATACACAGCACAAATGGTTGAAACAAGAACTGAAAAGTCATTTAGTTTGTCACGTTAAAAGGGTGAACACACAAACATTGCTGCTCCAAGAAACTAGGATTAAGACCAATTAAACCTCCTTATGTTTGCATCAGTAATTCCTTTCTATTACATTTATAATAAGGCTACATTCAAAGTTGCCGTGTATTTAGTTGTAAGACTCTCATAGTAATTGTAAGTTGACAGGTTCAAAAATATTTTAATGCAATATATTCTGATTATTTGATTTCCAAGTTATTTACTAATATTGGTTTTTACAACGATCACATTCAAACTTCACTATTTCTTTTTTATTAACCAAAATACTGAGGGACCAGGCTATATGTATTATTTGTTACTTAATAATTCTCTGTGAAGCATATCTGTTCTCAAAGGCATTTGTTTGAATGGCTTTTGGATTTACTAGTAAGGATCTTCTTTGTATGTATAAGGACAAAAGGCAGTTTCTTGTTTATTAGTTGATATTCACAGCAACCTTATGATGGATCCAAGTTCAGGAAGCCCAGCATTTCGTTTGAAAGTGGTGACGTGAGCTTGGATTTTTTTTTTTTTTTTTTTTTTAATCTAAGTCTGTAGGTTCCTACCACATACAGCAGCACTCCCTCTCAGCCTCCTCTCAGCCGTTTGTTCAAGTGGTCTTGCTGGTGTTGTTTGTTTTCTGGTACTTTGTTTGTAGGGGAGATCATTGGTATTGCTTAAAGGAACCATTTAAGTTCCTTGGACGTTTTGAAAAGTTGCCAGTTACATAGTAGGGTAGGAGATCTTCATAAAAAGAATTTGAGGTAGCTTTATTATTAATGGGAAGAATGTTTGCTGTAAGTGACTTTTTTTCTTGAACAGTTCATGGTCCAGACAGTTGAGGGTTTGCTGATTTGTGATGTTTCTGGTTCAGTATTATCAGGATGTGCTAATGTCCCAGTATAAATTTTCATGATTTGTATTTCCTTTATATTCATTTCTATTGATGCATGGACACTTTCAGAAGTCCGTATTAAATTATAGGGAACTGGAAGTTTTTGGGAGTACAATTTGAGGTTTTATGAAATGTATTTTAAGTAACTCATTTACTACCTTTCAGAATGTTGATTCAGAACAACTTCGATATTTGTAAGGGCTTCCTGTGTAGGAAAGGGATAAAGGAATTTCAAGTTGGTAAACCATTCATGCTAATAGTGGGATGTGCTACAGAATTAAAACAAAGAACCCTCCAATGGGGAATGTATTGCAGTTAACTCTTACAGAGAGAACCCGGGTTTGAAGATGCAGTGGATAATCATTTACCCCACGGCTGTAGCATGTGACACAGCACATGATGTTGCCAGTGTGTGGCAAAGGGAAATTGCTCATGACATCACATGCTGCAGAGCAGAGAGAAAGGTCTGGGGTCGCACAGTTGCCTTCCCTGGCACTTCTTCCTAAAGGCTATATTCTTCCCCAAAGGTGCCACCCTGGGGCCACCTCTCCCATGCTATCATTTCTTTCTTGATAGTGCTGTTAGTAGGAGACGGGAGAATGTTTTTGGTTTTTGTATCCTGAAGACAGATTTTCTTTATGGTTATTAAAAATACTTATGTAATTATGAAATAACTGGCTGTCTAATTTTTGTTGTTTTTAAAGCTATTTCATTTGTGGTGGTATAACAGTAAGAAAAAGTATAAATTATGAAATTATATGTTCTGGGTTCAAATTTTGGCTCTACAGCGTAATAATCTGATAAATTTGGTATATTTTAATCTTCTCATTTGTATAATGTTTGCTGTTTTTTTTAATTGTCTACCTGATAAGATTGCGTACCATCAAATGAGACAGTAATAAATATTTTGAGACAGTATTTTCTTTAAATGTTTTTTGGAGCAGGGTCATTTTAAGACAGGGTTTCTCTGTGTATCCTTCGATACTCTAGAATTCACTATGTAGACCAGCCTGGCTTTGAACTCATAGATCCACCTCTGCCTCTGCCTCCCAAGTGTGGGACTAAAGGTGGGCACCACCATCGCCCAACATCTCTTAAATGTTTTTAAGCATGCCTAATCTATATTAAGCACTTCTTAATAAATGCTAAATGTTACTGAGCATTAGTGCTATGCAAGGTTATAGAAGGAAAAAATCTGTATGAAATAATGTTTAAGGTGCTTGTTTTTCAAACTTTTGAGCATTATTTCAGTTCTAAGGGTAGTATGTGTACACGTTCAGGTTGGCTTAGGATGGTGATCCAAACATAAGTCATGTTAGCGTGATTGTGGACAGCATACTCCCTTTTTACTAAGAAGCGTTTTGCTTTGGATGAGAAGTTACATGGTCACAACCTCACAGAGGTGTGTGACACTCCTATCTGTATTTTCTGACCAGAAGTGGACTAGGGTTTCTTGGTCCCAGAAAGAACACTGCTAAGAGTAACTACTATGCCTGCTGGAACTGTTCCAAGAGTAGGTAGAAGTCTAGATTTCTTTAAATGTTCACCCAGTTTTTCATCATTAACAACTAATTTAGCTTTTGTAAAAAGCAAAACTCACTAAAGACCTGAGTATCTTATAATAAGTAAATTATCTCTCAATTTTTAAATGTACAGATGCTTCTTAAATATATACCTGTGGGTTATTAGTTTCAAATAACTAATAATTAATGCAGCGAATCATTTCTAATGTGGAAGCTTAACTTTTGAGAAAATTGGTTAATATATCAGACTTTTTATGGATTTTGAGTTTGTTATCATGTATATTAAAGACCTTAAGGTAGGAGTGGCCCTATTTAGTTGTCTCAGGATGTCCAAAGAACATGCTTAGAGTGGAAGAAATGAAAAAATAGTGTTAAATTGGCCACACTGTGATAGCCTTTGAAATCCTTTTTTATTGCTTCTTCCTCATCGTCATCATCATTATTGTGTGTTTATGCATGTACTTGTATGTGCAGCTATGCTATGGAACACATTTGGAGGTCTGAAGACTACTTTGGGGAGTTGGTTCTCTTTTTCTACCTTTGTGTAGGTACCAGAGTGAGTTCAGGTTGCCAGGCTCTTAAAGAGTGTGCACCTTTACCCACTGACCCATACCACTAGTCCTGTTTTTATTTGCTTGTTTAGATTTGGGTTTTTTGTTTGTCTTTTGGGACAGGGTTTCTTTGAGTAGTCCTGGCTATCACAGAACTCACTCTGTAGACCAGGCTGGTGTTGAACTCAGATCTGTCTACCTCTGCCTCGGAAGTGCTGGGATTAAAGGTGTGCACCACAACACAATTTGGTCTTTTGTTTGGTTGGTTTTTGGTTTTTTGAGACAGGGTTTCTCTGTATTGCTTTGGAACCTGTTCTGGAACTAGCTCTGTAGACCAGACTGGCCTCCAACTCACAGAGATCTGCCTGCCTCTGCCTCCCGAGTGCTGGGATTAAAGGTCTGTGCCAACACCATTTTTTTTTTTTTTTAAAGAGAGTTATGTGTAACTCCAGCTGGCCTCAGACTGACTCACTATGTAGCTAAGGATAACCTTGAATTATTCCCTTGTTTTCTGCCTCTTCTTCCCAAGTGCTTAGATTAAGGCTTGCACCACCATATCTAGCCATGAAACCCTTACTGAATTAAGTGACAAAGGACTTTCTGAAAGGGTTAAAAACAGTATATAATTACAACAGTTAAAAATAGAACTGAATGTGTAGTAGGATGAAATCATGAAACCACTGTTTTTATGTGAAGTATCTTCATGTTCTTTGTAGCTCAGACTTCTAGAACTTTGCATTATAAATTATTTTTTTAATATTTTTGTTTTCTTTTTAAAGACTGTTTTAAAGAAGCCATTCATATACGTCTGGATGAACTTCTCCGTGTTTTAAAATCTATAATGAATAAGCATCAGAACCTCAATTCTGTAGATCTTCACAATGCTGCAGAAACGCTTGCTGCAAAAGTGAAAGGTAAGGAAGATTCACTGAGGGCAGAGAGGGTCCAGGGACACGTTCACATCTCAGTCCATGATGACTGTATAGCCGCCTTCATGGCATTATAGGACTTGTCTGAATAAAGAACTTGGTATATTTTGATATATAAATATTTCCACCAAGTCACACCTAAAGGTATCTTTTAAAGAACTGTTAGGCATGGTAAAAATTCTTGTGTCAGCCAAGCAACCAATGTTTAAAACTTAGGTTATGTCAATGAGTTAACCCCCTTTTAAAGTTGTTTATTGCTGTTTGTGGATCCTTTGCTATGTGAAGATAATAGTGTTAGAAAAATGGTCATTTGTAGTGACTCCAGATGGAGAAAAACAAGGCTCAGTTTAGTATGTGAAAAGGAAATTACAATTTTATCAGGTGTATGTGTGTATGTGTGAGTGTGTGTATTAACGCTAAAACAGTATTGAGAATTAGGACATTGGCATCTGTAATGACAGCCACATGAAGTTGTTAAAATCATTCTGGGTTACAATATAGAAGACAGACTGAGTGAAGGGAATATTAGATTAGGAAATTGTGAGCAATAGTGATCTAGATAAAAACCAAAGATGTGAGCTTGAGGTAGAAGGTGGATATGGCAGCTGATGGGGTGTTGGGCATTTGTCAGGAGGTGTTTGAAAATGTAGCCTTGGAAGGGAAAATGGAGGGTTGACAGGAATCCAGGGTCAGAGAAGATGGGCAGATTGAAAGAGCATCTGCCAGCAGGGAGAGAAATACGGAGTTCAGGGGTGTGGGTACTGCCCCACAGTACAATGCCACTGGCAAGACACCATGGCTTCCAGCAATGGCACTATAAAAAGTGGTAGCAGTGTCGTGTGGAAAGTCAGAGGCAGACAAGTGACAGAGGTGTCACAGGCACCAGTGTGGCGCAGTAAGCTGCTGTCCATCTGAGGTGAAGGAAAGACCAGAAGGAGAGGTTGCCACTCTAAAAGTTTGACAACGAGGCGCGGCCACCCCATGGTCTGCTGGCTGGATGGTCTGCTGCGCTGTCAAGGGTGATGGTACTCTGAGAGAGAACTGGGTGAGGGTGCTGAATATATGCACATATTCAGAAAAGGCGAGAAGCAGTGCCCGGGTGAAGGCAGAAAGGAAATAAAAGCCTTTCAGTAAAAATGTAGCCTACCCCCCCCATCACTCACACACACTTCTCTTCTGACTTAGACTTTTCCTGTTTGTGTGGTTTCCTTTTTCTATTTGAAGCACTGGGATGGAAAAGTGCTGTAGACAATCCTAAGTGGAAAACAGGGTAGCTTGTCATGTGCCTTTTAAAAATGTGCTTAGTAACCAAATTTGTTTTCAAGTAGATTGTTTACAAGTGCCATTTAACTTTACTTAGATATGGAAATTTGTGTCTATAGATAGTAAAATTTCCATGCTTGGAAATAGCACTTAGTTCAATTGTTGTCAGTGGCTATTGTGCGTAGTCAGGATGTCCTGGGGAAGGAGTGCACCCGCGCAAAGCGGCTGATGCCCACATCCCAGAACAGACTGAAGAGAGTGCTCTTAACATAGAGCAACCTTTGGAGTATTGTTTCCCAAGACGGTTGGTTGTCTTATACGCAGAATTATTGCCACCAGTTTACTGTGGTGCTGGATGAGATTGGAAAGAGAAACATCAAAGTGATTGTTGGTGGAAAACTGTTTCTGTAGGATTCCCATGGAACCAGAAAATGTTAAATAAAAGGCTGTCAGGATTCCAGCGAATAGAGAATGTTAAAAAAAAAAAAAAAATGTGGGGGGGTTAGGATTCCAGTGAAATCAGGAAATGTTTTAAAAAAGGGTTTTTTGTTTTGTTTTTAAGGCCCTCCAGAAATATTGAGTGACTTGCAAAGTGGAGGTTAAATCAGACTTTATTTAATAGAAATTTAGTTTTCAAAGCCCAAGAAGGCAAGGATTAGGTAGAAACTATTTCTCTGATGGTAGGTGCCAAAAAGTAAATGTGTTGGTACTTCATCTTTGGTGCAGGGGAATCGTGTGAATGCACATTCCTTTCCTTCATTTGGGGAGGAACTTTAAGAAAACCTATGTGATCAGAAAGGAGTCATCTAGATCATCATACAGTCTTATCTAACTACCTACATTTTTAAAGACCCCAGGGACCTGAGTAGCATCTTTCTTTGGATGCTGTCAAATGGCAGTTTTCAAAATTGCCAGACTGTTCAAAACAAAGCACAGATTAGCTTCAGGGCCTGTTTGTGTTGCCACAGGTTGAATTCACACAATGTCACAATGTATCTGTTTCTAAAACAGAATCTTTCCATTGCTTTTTGTTTATTTTGTTTTGTTTTACTGTAAGCATGGAATTTACCTTGTAATAACTTTAAAAGAAAAATTCTTAGCTTAGCTTTCTCCCATTCATTTTGGCAGTGATTTGTAGTTCCTGTGTCTCTTTCTGTTTCCAAGCAGGAAGTTCAGTTGACAAAATATTTGCAATATGGTAAGAGAGATACAGCCTATTTTTGAAGCAGATAAAGACATCTTCAGATATCAGTAATTTATGATGTACTGTTTAGGTCAGTTTCATTGGTAATATAAATGAAAAGAAAGTTTTGTGTTTTTATCTATATATTGCCCATAAATTGGCAAAAAAATAAACCTTAATTATATACATATTTTTGAAATCTCATTTTTCAGTTCTGCAAACTTAATTTTTCAACATGTAGTTCATTCTTACAGTTCAAAATGCAGATGGCTCCAGAGGGTATTCAGCAACAAAGCTTGCTTTTGCAGACCCATTCATTGTAGTCCTGAGATAGACCATGACTGTCACTGATACCTTTTGAATTTTTGCAGAGAGAGATTGCACTCATAAACAAGCAAACACGTGTACAGGTCTCCTTTTTAACCCTTTGCTGTACAAATGATAGTATCGAACTACTGCTCATTTGTCTGCACATAAAATATTTCTCAGTTCTTTGTTTTTTTTTTTGTTGTTGTTGTTTTGTTTTTTTTATTTTTTTTTTCTTTTTCAAAACTGCATGGTGAGCTCATCCTAGTAGATGTTAACATTGTTGCCTAGTAGATGTTCACATTGCTTCCTCTGAGGCTTCTGTGCAAAGCCCTGTGAATTCCTACTACTTAGAACTCAGCAGTGAGAGCTAGAGGGCCAATGGAGTTATATGGGAACACAGGCATTTTTATTCCTTTCTTTATTTACTGGAGAGTAATGTTGGTCCAAGGTTCTGAAGAAACAGAATAAGGAGATACATTATTGTCCAAAGATTTTTGAAACTGAGCAACAAGGATGAAGCATATTAAAATCTCATACAGAGCGGCTTTGAAAGGGAGGGGAAGGCATTCACTGGAATTCTCATTGGGTGACTGAAACCTTGTTCAAGTAGGAAGGAAGACAAGAAAGATGCTTCAAAATAATTACCTTATCATTACTTTTACAGTCATTATAATAATTACTTATGTCTCCCAGTTGTACTTCATGTCATGAAAAGATAGACCTATAGGAAAGGGTGAATGATTATAAAAATTGGGATAGTGCTATAAAGTACTCTCCAATGAAAAATTAAAAGTATTTTTTTTTTTTTTTTTTTTGAGGTCTAGTTGATAGACAGCAAGCTGCTCCTGTTTAATAAGTGCTGATGTGTGGACAATGTTGTGAAAGCATCGCCATAGTCAGGGTAGTGCTTGTCCTCTTGGGATTCTTCTCCCTGCCTGTACCACTGCTCCTTACAGATTCTGATGCTCTGTGTATCCATTTCCACTCTGTTCAGAGTCCTTCTAATTTCTCTTTGTATTTGACCCATGGGTTATGTAGACATATGCTATTTAATTCCTAAGTATTCAAGAATTTTTCAGAAAATGTTTGTTACTTCTACTCTGATTCTGTGTAGTCAGAGAGTAAATTTTGAATAATTTCAATAGTTATGTTTATTGAGAGGTGTTTTATGGCCCATAATATGGCTGTGTTACTAAATATCCACTTGATAAGAACTTTGTCTTGTATATTTTGCTCCTGGGTAGAGTTGTACAAAATGTTTTTCTTGTCAGTGTGGTTGATAAGTATCATTCAGTACTCTGTATCCTTATTTTATGTTTTCTGTCACTTAGCATTAAGATATCTGTCACTGAAAATGAATCCACTTTTCACTGTGGTTGTTAGTTTTTGCTTTGTGAATTTTGCAGCTCTGTGTACATTTGTGAATATGTACACAAATTATAAAATTGTTATATCCTCCTGCTTAACTGATCCATCAGATTATAACATTCTAAAATATATCTGTGGACAGGCCCTTTGGAAAACCTACTTTGTGTAATATTAGGCAGTAAACTGAGGCAATTGTAAGCTTATCATGGTTAGTTTCTTGTCTGTCAAAGATGACTGCTTTTTTACCTGGTCATAGTAGCCCACGCCTTTAATCCCAATTCTGGGAAGGCAGAGGCAGGCAGATCTCCAAACTCAAGGCCAGCCTGCTCTACAGAGCCAGGCCCAGGATGGCCAGGGCTACCCAAAGAAATCCAAACCCTGTCTTGAAAAAAACCAACAACAAAAAGATTGCTGCCTTTTGTTGCCTAATAATCTCATGTCTTAAGAATGGTTTATTTTCCACTTTTGCTTGTTTTTAGTTATTTTAGGCAGAAGTAGAATCAGTTGCTCTACCTTGACCAGGGTAAAGGACTAGAAACCTTCTTAGTATTTGCACTGAATGAGTCTTAAGTTTTTCTCTTTTTATAAGGGATATTTAGAAAAATTTGAAAGTGTCCCGATCCTATAATCTACAAAGGTGTATCCATCCAACAATTCTGGTTGTAATTTCTGTAGTTCTTGCTTTCTAACCATGTTTGCATATTTGAATCAACTTCTAAAAAAAAAAAAAAAAATAAAGACCTATGAAATCTAATTCTTTGGTGCTAGAACTCCAGCCAAGACTTACAATGGCTTGTAAAGGAGAGGGTGGCTCTCTGGCTTCCTCACCTGCCTTTTGTAAGCAGAGCAGTGCAGGACTGGCAGCGCCGGGACCAGCTGCTTCCTACAGAGTAGCACGGTTTACTTAAAGAAAAAAGCCCAGTTCCACCTTCAGGGTTTGCCTTGGTAAATTGTGTCTTGGTTTTTAACAACAGTACACAGAAAGAAACTAAAATAAGAACATTTTCAGGCTGTATTTCCTAATAGTTATTAACAAAATACAAAATGTCAGGATATCCCTACTGTAAACATGCACCTCAGAACCCAGAATCCTGTTGACAGGAAATACAGCTATGTATAAATAATAGTGTAACGTCTTTAAAGTGCTTTTTAAATGTGATGCTATGTCTCATTCTATGGTATGTGAAATGTACGTGACTCCAGTTGTTGGTAATTGATACTCAGTTTACACTTCTTCATAGTGACTACAGTGGGCCAGCATCTTCTCTAGTTGTTTTTTAAAATGCCAGAGAGTAATGAGTAAAAAATAACATAGAACATTGCACAGACTGTGTGACTCCCAAGACTGATTGATTTCAGAGTTACTTTTTAGGTTGTGTTGGATTATGTAATGCACACAGTAACCAGCTTGCAATTCCAACTACTTCTATGCAAACTGATGCATTTGCATGATTTCCTTAATAAGGAACTTAAGTATTTTATTCATTTTGTATATTAGATTGTAAGTTTCTGAACTTTTTAATGCTTTTTGAAGGAATAGTGATTAGAGTAAATGGTTTATGTAAATCTAGTGTAAAACATATTTTCTTCCACTTACTGCAATTGATCTTTGCTTATAGCTGTGAACTTTACAGAAGTTAATGAAGAAAACAAAAACTGTCTATTTCAAGAAGTATTTTCCTCCATTGAAACTTTGGCATTTACCTTTGGAAATATGTAAGTAAAGACTATGTCATTTAAATTAGTGCACCTGAATATGTCACAGTGAGAAATACATAGACCATACAATTGTAGGCTATGTGAAAAGTAACGTATTAAGGACTATCACATATCATTACAACTTGGCAAGAGGTGTCTTCTGTGTCACTTTATTGACTATTTGCAAGTATCTATAGAGCTCTTAGCAGCAGCCTCTGTTTGCTTTGTGTGATGAGATTCCTAGGTGTTTCTTAAAACTATTCTAGATAGAGAAGGTAAGAGACGTGTAATAACTTGTCTTTTTATTTCCATGTTTTCTTAACCTCTCTGGATAGCCTCACAAACTTCCTCATGGGAGATGTGGGCAATGATTCAGTACTGCGACTGCCTGTTTCTCGAGGAAGTAAGGTAGGCCCAGTCTTATGAAAACTAAGTCTCCTATATTTTTAACTTACTCTCACAGCTGCTTCCTAATATGGATCTTAATATTAATTAATCTGCTGATAAACTATAGATTCTCTTACTATTTTGAGGCTAAACAAAGCAGATTAGCACATTTTATATAATAAAATGTCAGCTTCTAGAGCAATAATAATTTGGTTATGCTTTTCTGAGTGATGCTATATTAAGAAAGCAGCCTAACTATTCATTAATCGATGTTACATGTTCCAAAACTTCAGTGAGGAATTTTTTTAGGCAGTGGGGGGAGATGGTTGTGGGTATATGTATGAGCATGTGGAGACCAGAAATGGACATAGAAAATAGATTTCTATCCTTTTATATAGAAGGGCAAACTAAGTAAGGTTAGGATAGCCTAAGTGTACAGTCCAATGTCATACACCTAGTAGAACTGAATTTTAGACCCTGGTGTCTTTGATCCCTTTTGCATTGAACCTGCACACCCTGTATTTTCTACCCATGTAGATCAGATTTTTCAAAGACTTATTTAGCCACCCATCTTTAGTCTCAGCACTCGGGAGGAAGAGGTAGGCAGATCTCTATGCATTTAAGGCATTTAAGTTCTACATGCTGAGTTCCAAGCCAGCCATTTTTAAACACCACCTAATAGCCATTATGTGTAGTTGTTTAAATTTAAATTGATAAATAAAATTAAAAGTTCACTTTTTAATTGTTTGGTCATATTCTAAATGTTTAAGTAGCTACATGTGGCTGATATACATAATATGCATGACATTTTTATCACAGGAAATTTTATACTAAGCTGCCTAAAAAACTCGAAAAACTGTGTTATACCTGTGATAAAATGGGAAAAGATGGCTGAGTGTTCTCTTAAGCTTGAAGTCTATTGTAACTGCTTCTTTAACTTCTGAACCTTTTTAGATCTGTAGAATTTGGGGTTCATATGGATTCATTGATTTTTAACTAATCAGATTAAATGAATTTATTCATTGTTGAGTCTTGGAAACTTGTAATTCTTACAGTATTGTGGTATTTAAGCAGATTTCTTAGGCCCTTTGAGTTTTAAATACTTGAAATTCTTGAGCAGGAATTATGTCAGAGTAATAAAAAGGACAGATTTTTGGAAGCAGCAATTTGTTGTTTTCTGCTCTAATATTAAATTTGTTTTCTTCCATGTGTTAAGTCTTTTGAAAACATTTCTGTGGACTCAGTGGACATACCCAATGAAAAAGGTAATGTTTGGGATTTTATTGTATATTTTGCATTTCCTTTCAATAAGTATTTTGTATTGCTTAATCTTGTTTTACTTGGTAATATAGTATATTCATTTTAATATAAAGTGATACATAAAGAAAGCTGGCTGGTGGTAGTGGCACACACCTTTAATCCCAGCACTCAGGAGGCAAAGGCAGGCAGATTTTCTGAGTTGGAGAAACCCTGTCTCAAAAAAAAAAAAACTTTAAAGAGAAATCTTGCTTGATGGTGTGATGTAAACAGATCATAATTACATACAGATTGTAACTCAACAAACAATAGAAATATATATTAATATAAAAACTCGAGCTGGAGATACAATAGCTCAGTAGTAAGAGCACTCACAATTGCAGAGGGCTGTTCACAACCATCTATACCTCTTGTTTCAGGGATTTGATTCGAGCTTCTGGCCCTCTGGGCTCCAGGCATGCATATGGTGCCCACCAGATGTACATTCAGGCAAAACATACATGCACATAAAGCAAAAATAAATAAAATTTTAATGAAAAAAGTACAGTATAATTTTAAGTATAAATAATGACCTTTTATAGACTTTTCCTTTGAATTTTTAACTAGTTTTTGTTGATTAATTCCTAAGGATCCAAGTACTACTTTTTTAGAATTATTATGTGCTCATATGTAACATGTACTTACTTTGATGTTTGTGTTTTCAGGAAATTTCTCCCCTATAGAACTAGACAACTTGCTGTTAAAGAACACTGATTCTATAGAATTGGCTTTGTCATATGCTAAAACATGGTCAAAATATACCAAGAACATAGTGTCCTGGGTTGAAAAAAAGCTCAACTTGGGTGAGTTCTCTGTTAGAGCATCTGGTTAACTTGGAAACGTTAGTGCTTACATGTTGTGGCTCCTTTTCGGTAGACTATAAGAATTATGACTTCTGATTAATGATTATTTCATTTTAATAAATAGAATTTTTCTTGCATAGGCTTTCTTACACTAAATATACACACTGAAGTTATTATAGGCTACTAGACATGGGCACACAGACAACACTGACTCTTCCTTTAAAGAGGTCTCACTACAGTGGGTGAGAAAGTCTAATCTATACTAAGGTGAAAGGAGAGGAGAGCAAGTATGTGCACAAGCAGAAAGGAAACTACAGCCCAGTAGTTTCACAGCTGAGAAGATGTTTTCATATCCATTATCTTAGCTAACCCCCTAATAATTGGAAAGTAGGCAAGACACAGGGTGTTTAGGTCCATTTTCTGGCAATGTTCCAAAGGGGCATAGCACATTTGCTTATGAACATGTGGCATATTTGGAGGGGCATAGGATAAGTTCCTCCCAGCACTCAGGAGGTAGAGGCAGGCGGATCTCTGTGAGATCGAGGCCAGCCTGGTCTAAAGAGCTAGTTCCAGGACAGGCTCCAAAGCTCCACAGAGAAACCCTGTCTTGAGAAAACAGCAAAGCAAAGTTCCCCAGTTGATTCTGATGAGCAGTTAGATTAAGAATTGCTTCCTTATTATCATGGTGCATAAAATATGTGTGATTACCTTTTAATTGAAGAAGCACAAATAATTTTAGAGTTTATCCATAGAGAAAAATTGTAATTTTTGTCTTTTTAACCTTTCAGAATTGGAGTCCACTAGAAATATTGTAAAATTGGCAGAGGCAACTAGATCTAGCATTGGAATACAAGTAAGTGTTCTATGAAGTCCTTGGGTTCTATAATAAGAGACTGTTCAGCTAACCTCTCAATCAGTTCACAGAGAAAAAGACTTACTGAAAAAAAAAAAAAAAAAAACTAAATTTAAATGGCTGTTCCTTACGAATGAAACTAGAGTATTTACAGTTTTATACAAACACACATTTTGAAACTCATTTTGCTAACTAGTTCATAAATCTAGTGTTATTCTCACATAGACGCTTTACATAGTCATTTTACTAGAGAAAAAAAATCTAAAGTTGTCTTTTTTAAGAACAAGGACATATTTAGAACTCTAATACCATTTTTTTCCTAAAATGTCAAATTTAGGGATTGAGTTACAGTATATTAGGCAAGTGCCTCCAGTACTGTATTATTACAAAAATACCTTTCAATTTTAAATTCTAGGAGTTTATGCCACTGCAGTCTCTATTTACCAACGCTCTTCTCAATGACATACACAGCAGCAACCTTTTACAACAGACAATTGCAGCTCTCCAAGCCAACAAATTTGTACAGGTAAAAATGAATATATACAGCATATTTTTAATAGCATACCTTTATAAAACAGCTTACATCTTTTTACTATCCTTAATAGCCTCTACTTGGGAGAAAGAATGAGATGGAAAAGCAAAGGAAAGAAATAAAAGAACTTTGGAAGCAGCAACAGAATAAACTGGTTAGTGTTATTCTGGAGTTTCATGTGCTTGTTTGTGAACATCTAAAATCACCTGCAGTAAATAAACCCACCTGTCTTATTGTGGCTTCCCTAAAGTGCTGCCTTGTAATTTATTCAATGCTCTTTTCTGTGTAGCTTGAAACAGAGACAGCTCTCAAAAAGGCGAAATTGCTATGTATTCAGCGGCAAGATGAATATGAAAAGGCAAAGTCTTCCATGTTTCGTGCAGAAGAGGAGCAGCTAAGTTCAAGTGCTGGACTAGCAAAAAATCTCAACAAGCAACTAGAAAAAAAGCGAAGGCTGGAAGAAGAGGCTCTTCAAAAGGTAACATTTTTATTAGATGAAACTTGAACCAGCCAGTACATTCTCTAAGAGATTTGGCTTCAAACCGTCCCAGGAGGCAGGCCAGCAGGAAAGCAAACTCAGGCTGCTGGGCCTCACTCAGAGCTTCTCACTCAGCTGGTCAAGCGTTGGACCCAGACAAGGTCACTTCTAACAGGTCCTCAGGTGACAGTGCTGCTCTAGTAAAATCCACGCTCTGGAAATCACTATGCTGGGATACTTGTGAGTTTGTGAAAGAGTATCTTAGAGAGGATAGTAGTTTCTTATTTTTATAGATGATTATTTATAAAATCTACCTTTTAGGCAAGTCTGTGTTACACACCTACTGACAAGCCAAGGCTTTGTATCATTTATGTATATATTAAGTATAATTTGACAAATTCTATCAAATAAATGATAAATATAAGTAGGAAGTACTTTTTAAAATAGAAATGGAGATGTTTGTATGCAAACAATATATAACAATATATACATATATATAATTGTAAATTGCCCCCAGCAATTAAAATCAAATGTTTTTAAATTGCCAACCAAAATGCTGCTATTTATTTTTAAATTATCTTATTTAAAATATATTTCATAATACTATATTTAAAATGAAAATAAAATATTTCAGAATTTTCATAGACTTCCCAGTTTTTTAAATATAGCTTAAACTACACAGTTTTTTAGTATGAATTCTAGTGATTAGTGTTGTTTCTGTGATGCCCCTTGAAGGTAGAAGAAGCAAACGAGCACTACAAAATTTGTGTAACAAATGTTGAAGAACGGCGGAATGATCTAGAAAATACCAAGAGAGAAATATTAACACAACTTCGGACACTTGTTTTCCAGTGTGATCTTACCCTTAAAGCTGTGAGTTATTTCTTCGTTATTTGAACGCAACAGGGAAAAAGTCTTGGGATCTGATGAGCTTTGGTTGTTGAGAAATTTAAATTCTGAGACTGAGAACTTTTGTTTCTAGTAGTTACCTCTTTTCTTTCTGTCTTTTTATTGAAAACAGGGTCTGGTAAAACTGAACCAAAAATTATTCATGTAAATACAAAACATCCTACATCAATTTTCATTTTATGTCTTTAAAGTATTTCATAAAGAATTTACATTCAACAGACTCTTTTGGCAAAGTTGACAGGTGTGTGTGTGTGTGTGTGTGTGTGTGTGTGTAAAGTGTTAACTGCCACCACAGTCAGGAACCAGAAACGCTCAATGTTGCCCATCTGTTGTCAGTTGGTATACATATCCCTAACAATACTGCTGTGTTCTCCATCCTGTTAATTATCTGTAAAAATGTTAGGATAAGTATTTTTGTATCTAAATGTTTTCCAGCTTTTCTAGAGTATCTCATAAATGGACTTATAGTATTTAACCTTTTCAAACAGCCTACTGTATCACAATGTTTATTCATTCACCAGGTGGACATTAGTGTTGTTTATAGTTTGGAGTCATTATGAATAAAGCTCCGAAAACATTTGTTGACAGCCAGCTGGGCGGTGGTGGCACATGCCTTTAATCCCAGTGCTCTGGAGGCAGAGGCAGGCAGGTGGATCTTTGAGACCAGCCTGCTGTATAAGAGCTAGTTCCAGGACAGCCTCCAAAGCCACAGAGAGACCCTCGAAAACCCAATAGGCTTTTGTTGAACATAGTTTAGCATATTTTAACACTCTCATGCTTTGGAGAATATATAGGAGTGGAACAGCTGTGAAATGCATGATTAACTCAGTAAGAATCTACAAGACAGTTTTTCAGAGTGACTCTAATCAGTGTGAGAATGCTTGTTTTGTGTCCTTGATACTGTGACATGCTTAGCTGCTCTAATAGGTGTGTGGTAGAGATCTAATTTTGCTTTTCACTTGTGTTTCCAAATAAGGGATAGGGGAAGTGATAGGATTCATTTACAGTTCGGCCATTTTAAATTTCTCATTGTATTTCTTTGTTTTTGTATGGTTTTTTTTTTTTTTTTTTTTTTTTTTTTTTTTTTGTCTTACATATTTTCTTTCATTTCAGAGCTTTTTTTTAATTATATTTTTAGCAGTGTCCTGTAGGGGAAAGTTTTTTAATTTACTAGGTCTATCTTGTTTGGGTCATACTTTTGATGTTATGTCTAAGAATACGTCACTTACCCCAAGGTCAAAGAGTTTCCCCCTTTGTTTTTTACTAATAATTGTAGAGTTTGACACTTAATATAGTCCATATTGAGTTTACTTTTTGCAGGGTATGGATTGAAGTTGCTTTTTGGCATATAGATGCTATATTAAAATCATACCTAAAGGATTTTAATAAATACCAGCACAAAGAGGGTAGTGCCAGAGAAAGAATTTATTACTTATATTTCCAAATAGAAGAAGAAACAGAACACACAAAACTATAAAAGGAATGGCAACTTCGGTGGGCAGATTAACTAAGTTTTGTTTTGTTTTGAGGCAAGATTTCTCTGTGTAACCCTGACTGTCCTGGAACTTGCTCTGTAGACCAGGCTAGCCTCTAACTCACAGAGATCTGCCTGCCTCTGCCTCCAAATCTTTATTGGCAATTACATGTAGTCGGTGCACATCTGTAGTCCTAACACTTGGGAGATAGTGAGCAGGAGGATCAAGATTCAGTGACATCCTTGGTAATATGGCAAGTTTGAGTCCCAAGCTACTTGAGATTCTGCTTCAAACAAAATGTAATAACAACAAAAACTTTTAGTCAGGACTCCCTCAAGAAAGGCAAAGTGAACAGAGACTACACAAGGTGTGGACTGGCTGTTTTGCAGAGTTCTGTTAGTTGGGAATGAGATCTGAGGCTTCCAACCTCACTCTTGATTCACCTTGGGCAGAGGAAATTGACTTGGTATAGTAGATACATTGGTTGGGGCTATGAACTTGGAACTTACTAGTTTTGTACATGAAGATGTGTTATTCTCCAAGCTCTTGTTTTTTTCAAGTGCAGTTTCTCCCTGGCCAGCTTTTAAAGATGTTCAAAAATAATAATATCATTTAAAAAGGTAGCGGGGGAGAAACATAATCAATACAGAGGTCTACCTCTCCCAAAACAACAGGAAACTATGCTGTTTCCATTAAATTACCTTTGCATTTTTTTCAGAATCTGTTGACTATATTTGTACATGCCAAATTCTCTCTCTTGATTTTGTTGCTTTATATTGAAAATCAGATGTGAGCACAATTTTATTCTTTTTAAGAATTATATTTGAAATCCTTTAATGTTCCATAAAATTGTTAAAATCAGTTTGTCTATATTCAGAAAGATCTTATAAGCATTTCCAGTGGGATATATTAAGCCTTAGATCAGATTGTGAAGAATTAACAACATGTTGTACATTGCTTTGTTTATTTAGGTCTTTGATTTTTAAAATCAGAACTTTTTTTCAACATAAGAATCTTTGACAGTTTATTTATTTATTTATTTTGGAGGCTGTTGTGAGTAATCTATATACACACACAACTTAGATATCCACTCCACTTAATTTCAAATTCCAATTGTTTTGTAATATTTAGAATCATAGATAATTTTTACATGATCATTTTATCTTAGAGCCTTGGTAAAACGCCTTTATTTTAGGGACTTTTGAAGAGTCTTAGAAAAATCAAGCTGTTTGCCACAGGGCAGTTTTATGTCTTTCTCTTTTGTAGTCCTTTTACTTTTTTTATTGCACCTTTTAATTTTCTTATAGGGCTGTCAGGTAAATGGGAGTGATGAGGGGAGATTTCTTTGTCTTGGCCTCGGTCTTAGAAGAAAAGCATTTAGTCTTTTGCTATTTAAATAAGGATAGTAGCTATAGATTCTTTGAAGATGCCCCCTATATAGTTAAGAAATTTCTTTTTTTCTCTGTGTTTGCTGAGTTTTTCCAGTCTATATTATTCTGTGATCATCTAGTTTATCTTCTTTTCTCCCTTCCTCTTTCTCCCTTTTCTCCTTCATTTTCCCTCTCTTCTTTTCCCCCCTTTACTGTCTTTGTTTTGGTTAGAGTAATCTGCTTTCATAAAATGAAGTGAGATAATATTTTTAACTTTTGTTGGGAGAAGGGCTTATCAAATTTGTGTTATCTCATATCTGTCAGCATGTGTGGTACCTAGGGTTGAGATATTGGAAGAATATTTTTCTACATAGTCATTTCTTTTGATATATTCAAGTTAATTATTTCGTAGGTGAAATTTGGTAGCATATGACTTGCATAAAATTGATCCCTTTCCACTTGGTGAAAGTGTGTGTGTGTGTGTGTGTGTGTTTCCTCTTTCATTCTTAATAATTTATGCACACTCTCCCCCAATCTTACACGAAGTTTATATTTCATTGATCTTCCGAAAAAGCTTTCAGTTGATTTTTGTCCATTTTTATTGGCTTTTACTCACAGTTTGTCACTTTCTTTTAACTTTCATGGCACTCTTCACTGAGTCCTCCCCGAATCTCTAGAATGAAGTCTTGAATGGTTCAGATGCCTGCTGAAGGTGACTTACTTACAGTGGTCACACGCCGAAGTGTGTTTTTCTAAGTTCCCTAGAAATTTGCCTTTTGAACAGTGGATAATGTAAAAGTTTCTTGTTTGATTTTCTGATTTTTGAGTATTTTCCATCTGTTCTTTCTGATAATGACTTCTTGTTTAATTCTGTTGTGGAAGGAGAAATTAATTGTCTGATTTCAGGCTCCTTAAATTTGTTACATTTTTTAATTGATCCAGTATTAAGTTTTTGTTTTGTTTTAAAAAAAAGTTGATAAAATTGAAAAAAAATAAAGAGCAAAAAACAATGAAATAAAAAGCTGCTTTGAAAAGATAAATTATGAATGTTCCATGACTGTACTTTGAAAAGAATGGGCATTCTTTCGTGCATACAGATCAGTTCTTTAGTCTATGTTGTAATTTAGTTCTTCTGGTGTTTTGTTTTGTTTTTCGAGACAGGGTTTCTCTGTATTGCTTTGGAGCCTGTTCTGGAACTAGCTCTGTAGGCCAAGCTGGGCTGGGACTCACAGAGATCCACCTGTTTCTGCCTCCTGAGTGCTGGGATTAAAGGTGTGTGCCACCAACATGCAGCCTCTTCTGCATTCTTGATTAGGTGTATTTAACTGTCTATCTGCTGAGAGAGGTTTAGAGGTCCTTAACATACTGTGTGTCTAGATCTATCAGCTTTTGCTTTGTGTATTTTGAAATCTGCTACTAGTTGCTTCTACATTACCAAATATTATACCATAGTAGACTGATTTTTTTTTTCCTTTTTTGAAATGTCTCTTTCCTACTTTGCTTTTCTATTGCTAAGATGAAACATTACATGGGATAAGCTTGAAGAGGAAAGGGTCATTTGGCTTAGAGGTTGTAGGCCAATGTCAAGGAGGCCAGGGCAGGAACCTACAGACAGGAAGCTGCATTCTGGCTTGCTTCCCAAGGTTGCTCAACTTGATTTCTTATATGGCTTGCCTCTGCCTCCCAAGTGCTGGGATTAAAAGTGTGTGCCACCATGCCTGTCCTCCAACTCTCTCTCTTTATCCTGGTAAATATCCTTGCTTTTTACTCTGGTTTCTAGTGTTGATATGATACAACTATTTCCATTTACTTTTAATTACTTTAAACATGGTATATTTTTCCTTTTATTTTTGAGTGACTTTTTTATGTGTACATATTTTACTTGTATGTATGTGTAACACATGTGTGTCTAGTGTCCCCAGAAGTCAAAAAAGGGGGCATTGAACCCCCTGGAACGGGCATTACAAATGATTGCAAGCCATCATGTTGGTGCTGAGCACTGAACCCTGGTCCTCTGCAAGAGCAGCAAATGCTCTTAACTGCTGGCTGCACCATCTCTCCAGCCCCTTTCCCCTCTATTTAAAATGAGTTTCTTATACAAATAGCATTGACTTTAGTGTTGATTTCTAAACTTCTCTTGACAGTTTTTAAATGTTTAGATCATTTATGTTTAATGTAAACACATGGTCAGATATAGACCTAATATATTATTTCCTTCCTAAATATAACTCCTTTCCTTTCATCTATTTTTGTCTGTTCAGGATTGTTTTAATTTATCTGGACTGTTTATCAACATTCCAACTTGTTTACTTAATTCATATTTGGGGGTTAATTCTCTCTGAATTTTGTAGTTATTGAATTAGGAATTGAAATGCAGATATGCATGCTGTGTATTTGCAGTTATCAGTTGCCTCTATAGATGTGAATTCCAAATCTTTGACTTCAACAATAGAAACAAAAATTTGATCTTTACTGAATATATACAGATCTTTCCACATTGCCATTCCTTAAGTAATAGAGTGTAACAGCAGTTCACATTGCATTTGTGTAGCATTAGGTAGTTGTATGTAATCTAGATATAAATCATATGGGAGGATAAGCCCAAGCTAACTGCAAATATACCATTTTCTATACGAGACTTAACTGGCCATGATGTGGATATCTGAGTGTTCCCTGGATAGACATCCAGTCCTCATGGATACTGCAGAACAAGTGTATACTTAAACTTTTATTTTGAAGACAGGATCTCATTTGTCTCAAACTTTCAGCCCTTTTTACCTTTACTGACCAAGTACCAGGATTACAGAAGCGTGCCAGTGTGTATAGCTTTGTATTATTTTTACCCAGTCCTCTAAGAACCAGTACTTTAGTATTTCAAGTGGAATGCAGAAAACTTAGCACCATGTAAGCCCCTATACTCTTTGTGGATTGTAGTAGGTATATATTTACTAAAATACATATATATTAAAAACCTTATCACACTGTCTTAATTCTTGTGGGGGGAGGTTTGTTTGCTTTTCTATTATTTTAATTGAAATAATATTATTTCCTTCTTCCCTTTCCTCCTCCAAACTGTCCAATATACCCCTCTTTGCCTCTTTCTTGTTACATACATATATATGTATATACATATATATATATCCCCAACTTAACAAAAGTTCTATTAAGATTTTTCAGCTTTACCATGTTTTATCAGAATAGTAAATGAGTTTGTTGACATATAATCCCATTGTAGGCTGAGGAGTATTATATTGTCCTTTTGATTTGCCTCTCCTTTGTTTTTTTCCTTTTCCTATATAGTCCTTCAGTAACTTTGTTTGGAAATTTTGTTTTCAATACTGAAACTTCCTATTTTATTTGTCTTTGATTTCTCTGAGGAGATTTGTCTTTCCATTGTTTCAAATTAATGTGTCCCTTTTATGCATATGAGTGTGTCTGTGTATGTGATTGTACTCATGGATAGGAGACCAGAGGGTATCATTCCTCGGAACCTTTCACTTTTTTTTTTTTTTTAAGACAGGTCTCATTGAGTAGGCTGGGATGGCTAGCCATCAAACCTCTGAAATCTGTTCCTTCTTCCTTTTCAGTACTGAGCTAGCACAGGCCACCAACCTGTGTGCTTGTTTGTTTTTTAAGGTGGGTTCTGGGGCCTCAACTCAAGACAAGCACTTCCCCATCTCTCCAGCTCTTCCCTTACTTCTACAGCCTGTTATAACAACTGCTTCTGAGCCTCCGTCCTGGTACCTGAGCTACCTCAGGTTGATATCTGTCTTTTTAAGTGTGTAAGATGTTCCTGATACTTCACATGACAAGTAATTTTGTACATTAATTTGTCCTGGGAAGACAGCAGCAGCAGCAGCAGCAAATGCTTGCCACCCCTGATGAAGTACCAGTAACTGCCAGAGGAACACCAGAGTCTAGTTTAGTCAACCAGTCCGTGTGAGTGGGGTTACTTACAGGAGGGTGGGCACCCATAGAAGCTCTACCACAAAGGACTAGGCCCTCCAGGGGAAGGTCCCGGTGAGTGCCCCACCCCCACCCTGCAACTGTTAACTGCCTGTGTACCCTTGGGGAGGGGGAGGGAGGAGAATCACAGCTGTGAGAGCTCAGGTCACGCCCTGAGGACAGCATTCCACAACACATTTTGACTGTTTAGGATAAACAGGTATTTCCAGTGTTGTTTGTGTGACTCTGGGTCCTAATACTGCTTTAAAGTGTGCATGGCCATGTGAACAAAGTAGCTTCACCTTCCTAGCTTTGTGCCTATCACCTTGGTCTGACTAGGAAGCTGAAGTGTGATGCTGTCTACTCTTCAGCTCTCCAGAAAGTTGGAGCCAGCAATTCGGAAGCATTAAGTGGAGGAGGTGGGTGGGGGATGCAAGGATAAAGAGAAGAATGAAAGCTAAAGGAGGATTCACTTCAGGGTTTTAGATGTGTTCTGTTCCTGTAACCGCCATCACCGCTACAGGTCTGTGGCCCCAAAGAAGTGGGCTTCTATGGGGAATGGGGCAGGAGAAGGTGGAGCAGAGAAACCAGGGGGTTTTTCCTACTGTTGAGTCACATTTCCTACCCCTTCGCTGTTCTGGTCCACACAGGCCCTCTGTTGACGATCTCTGCATCCATATCTGATGCTGCACTTGTGGGAATCAGCCTAGGCTGATAGGAGTGGGAAAAGCAAGACATATACCTAAAGTTACCATATATTTCTGTGTCTTTAGATAGGTGATACTAGTAATACAGATTCTGAACAGGGCTTTTCAGTGGATTCAGTTGAGGAAAGGTTCCTTCTCAGTGAGGAATTTTTACAATATTTTGAGCTCTTAAAGTTGTAAATCATTTGTTTACCAAATTTTGATTATTAGCTTGCAGGTTTATAAAATAACTTAAAAGATTTACAAAACTCCTTTACCTCAATTCATAACTGATAATAGCTAAGATTAAGTACATAACTGTCTGTATTAAGACATCTTTGTACCTAGACTTAACCTAGTTCTCGGAAGGTCTTGTTAGAAAAACGTATTTTTAGCTCATTTTACTAGTTTAGAAAGTCTTTCTTCCCAGTGCATGGTCTTCAGATCAATCACGCTGCCAGTGTTCTGGTTGCCCATAAGTAATGTAGAGGGTTAGATTTTGAACCAGACTTTTGAATCATAATCTGCATTTGAACAAGATTTCTCAGATGTTTTCATTGAATTTGACTTTTTCAGATTTCTGGGACAGAGAGATTATAAGTAGCTTGGTCATTGTCCCTAACCCATACAAGTCACCCTTTGGATCAAGCAAGTTCACCTTACCATTAGCTGCCCTTATACACCAGTCATTGATTTAAACTGTATCAACTAAAGGCTGAATTTCCTTTGTTAATTGAAGGGTTAAGACATGAACAGTTCTTTTGGGTACACATTTCAAATACTGCCTATGTGCATTGACATATCCTTGGAGAAATGTGTTATCCCCTTTGGAGAGGACTGTGGTAATGAGTTCCTCCTATCATCTGATAAACCCTGAGTGCTGAATAACAATAATCAAAATTTGACTTTTTTTTTTTTTCATAAGATTTTCTTTAGGTATATTTACCATACCAAATCCAGAGTGGTGTCGTAAGGAATAAATGCGATCATGCTTTGCTTAGTCTTTAGCTGACTTCCTGTTATATTTATGTCCAGTCCTTCAGACTCCATGGATGAGTTGACTGCTACCTTTCCTGTCCTTGTGTCCAGCAGAAGCTCTGCTTCCCCAAGTGTGCTTTAACCATTGGCCTTTCATCTGCTTCTGGAGCACAGGCTGTGTACCACTCACTTCTGCTCCCTTTTGTCTGAACTGACCTTCTCCCTGGAGCTGTATCTTGGCTCGTTCTCACATGGTCATATTTCAGGTGTCAGCTCTACAGCCTTCCCTAACCTACCATGTTGAAAATACCCTTCCACAAACACATACATGGTGATATTCCATTAATTGCTTTTTTAATTTGTTATTGGTATTATGAGGGATGTATGTATGCTTGTATGTGTGATGAGAGACATGCATGCCACAGCATGTGAGTGGAAGACAGAGATCAGCTTCTGCATCGGGTTCTGCACTTTTCCATGGGTTCCAGGACTTGGGACTCAGGTCACCAGGCTTCTGTGGGCAAGTGTCTTTACCAGCTGAGCCATCTCTCTGGCATAAGTTGACATTCTTACTGCAGTGTTTTCAGCATTTTAGTACTACGAAATATTTTAAGACCCACCTTTAGGATCATATATAAATAGGTGAATGAGAATGAGTAGCCCATCTATTTGCCATAATATGCTGATGTATAGTGTGTGTTTGAAATTAGTTAATATAAAATTACATATTTTATAAACTCTGGCTTTTTATGTGAGTTTTATAACCACTATTGTAGTCATTACTGTAAGTAGTAGCAATGACAGTTGTTGAAACTTACTAGGCTCATGTATCCCACCCAGATAATCAGGAGACTGAGACAGAAATATCTCACATTACAGGCCAGCATGGACAACATAACAAGACTGCATCTCAAAGAAAAAGGACTTTTAAAAAAGGGGAAATAGTTTAAATAATGCTGCTTATGATTGGAAGATCCCTGTCCATTTTCATTTTGGAGTTTGGACAATTGCGATTCAACCATCAAAGTGTAGAGCTAGGGATCCTCAGATGCATTATGTCCTAAAGCTATTAGCCAGCAAGGATATGGATTTTAAACCCATTTTGCTGGAACTGATCACTCATGGCTATTAGATTAAAGCTGTGCATGCCATCACTATGCTGGTGGCAATATTCAGTGTTGTGTGTGTCACATGTATGACCTTTTTATTGCTGTACTGGTTTACATAAATGTGCATTTACATAGCATTTTGTATCTCATGAGTTTTGTCTGTCTTGTCTTTATCTTTGACTGTAGGTAACAGTTAACCTCTTCCATATGCAGCAACTACAGGCTGCATCCCTTGCCAACAGCTTACAGTCTCTCTGTGACAGTGCCAAACTCTATGATCCAGGTCAAGAATATAGTGAGTTTGTGAAGGCTACAAGTTCGAGTGAATTAGAAGAAAAGGTTGATGGGTAAGACTTTATGTATAGGTGAAAAGATTTCAAGAGAGAAAATGTTTGCTGAGTTCCTATCGATGTGTATAAGGAAGTGTCTTTTCTTACACTTTAATATTAATGTTAATTTTTTTCAATATTTTTGTATTATTTTGTGGTTTCTTAGTACATTTAAGGAATAGATGCAATATACTTGAAGCCTTCCACTTTCCCACAGACAGACTTCACTTTGAGTCTTAAAAATTTTGAGGGGATAGCAAATGGTGACCTACATATTTTGAGTATACCAAAAACTAAACCTATATTTTCCACTAATGTTAGATTAGAAAAGTTTATCATGATATAAACATTGACTATTCTGTTGTTATACCTCTTTCATATTTCATCTGTTATAAGTATACATTATTTAAAAGCTTTATTCACATCTGTAAAGGAAGATGAACTAAAACCCTGGCAGTGGTGGCACATGCCTTTAATCCCAGCACTTGGGAGACAGAGGCAGGTGGATCTCTGTGAGTTCGAGGCCAGCCTGGGGTGAGTTTCAGGACAGCTAGGGCTACACAGAGAAACCCTGTCTTGGGAAGAAAAAAAAGAAAATGAACTGTATAATAAAGTTATTAATATTTAGTAAGTACTTACTCTACATTTATTAAATTAACAAGTTTTTTAATACTCTATTGTGCTGAGCTTTATTTGTTTTTACCCCACAGGAATGTAAATAAAAAAATAACCAGTAGTCCTCAGACACCTGGATATGGGCCTGCTGACTCCTTAGAGGATGTCGCCCGCCTTCCTGACAGTTGCAGTAAACTTGAAGAGGACCGGTGCTCCAACAGTGCAGACATGACAGGTGTGTGTCATACTGAAGCAAGCTTTGCCTATGAGCAGCAGGCACTCAAATGCGGTTTCTAAGTGACTTAGTCCACTGTTAGATCCTTTACAGTTCTAACCACTGTGCTATCTCAGAAGTCCATACTTACCCACTGTGGAAGAGTTTGAATCTTTTCTTTCTATATAATATCGGTATTTCATCCTATGAAATCTGACTGGATGCAAAACTTTTAACTATTCTCTCTCTCTTTTTTTTTTTTTTAAGGTCCTTCTTTCGTGAGGTCGTGGAAGTTCGGGATGTTTAGTGACTCTGAGAGTACTGGAGGAAGCAGTGAATCGAGATCTCTGGATTCAGAATCTATAAGTCCAGGTACATAAATATGTATTTAAGTCTAACTAAAAATTCAATGAAAGATTGAAACAGTCCATTTGGGGTATTTTTAACTAGCATACTTTTGGATGATCTATCTCTGACATAAGAGAATATACATACATATGTGTAATTTTAAAGAAAACCTTTACATGAAGGCGAACATTACTAGTACATGAGAAGTCCCATTTATATACATAAATTTTGTATGTGTGTGTGTCTGTCTCACCTCCTATCCCACCAGGATAAATTATTGTGTAGCTATTTTAATTATTTATGGAAACCATTTCATGGATTGTACCCTCTTCTGGATGCTATAAAAATAAAATCATTTCCTCACTCTTGATTTGATATTGGGGGTTGGACTTAAGGCCTCTTGCATGAGCTGTACACTAAGCCTGTTTTTTTTTTTTTTTTTTTTTTTTTTTTTATTTTGAGGCAAGCTCACTAAGTTATCCAGGTGGGCCTTGAACTTAAGACATAGCCCAGGCAAGCTTTGAGTCCTGCGCTCTTTCTTCTACAGTCTCCCAAGTAGCTGGGGTTACAGCCTGCACCACCACAAAACCTGGCTGACTTCTTCACCCATGTTGATATGAAAAGCTATCTCTGTGTTCATACTATACAATAACTTAGTATCAAGAGTACAATAAATTATGAGTGGCAGATGCAGTCTTTAAAGCCTATAATCTCAAGTTCTTATTGTCAGAACTTTTGGTGTTTTAAGACAGAATTTCTTTGTGTAACAAACAGACTATCCTGGAACTCACTTTAGAGTCCAGGTTAGCCTTGAACTCAGAAATCCACCTGCCTCTGCCTCTGCCTCCCGAGTGCTGGGAGTAAAGGTGTGTACCTCCACTGCCTGGCCTTTTTTTTTAGTCAGATTTAATTACATTCTTTTTTGTTCTCATGAATTTGAGTATCCAAATCCCCTGTTAACTAGATTTTGAGAATAGAAGAAAATTTTCAATCAAAAAATAATACAAATTATGTAATTCCAAGAATATTACCACTACTTATTTCTGCTGTTCTCCAGCGAATAGTCAGGTGATGGTACCCACAATTTCCTTTTAGGAGACTTTCATCGGAAACTTCCACGAACTCCATCCAGTGGAACCATGTCTTCTGCTGATGATCTAGATGAACGAGAGCCACCATCCCCTTCAGAAGCTGGTATTACATTTATCTCTATTAAGGACCCACTAAACCAGTTGTAATAGTGGCAATGCATAATACTCAATCATTACTTTGTTATAACCACATGTTTATATATAAGTATGAATTATAATGAATTGGTTAGATGATTGAAGTAATGTTCACAAGAATAAGGAGTAAACCTCCTAGATCTAAAACATACTAGGAATGTGTAATAGCAGGTTGTTTATGGTGTTCTTTCATGAGTCAGTCAGTTCAGCGACTTTCTGTTAAGAGGGTGGCAAATGCATGAAAAATTCTAGAAAAGCTCATTCTTAATAGTGCAGGGGCTGTGGGCAAAAAAAATTCAGTGGTAAAACCCTTACTGTTCATGAAGCCCTGGCTTGTCTCCTGAGTACTGCAAAAACAATTCCAATAATGACGAAATGGCAGGAAGCCAAATGTACTTCTCCAGGACAAGGAAAGTTGTGGGTGTTAATGATACAAAAGTCAGTTACTTAATGACTTGAATTAAGCTCATATAAATTAGTTTTTGTATCTTTGGACATTCGTGTTTGTCTCTTTTAGCAGATTTCCCAGATTATTAGGATATCTGACTTCCACTATGATTTAAAAATATAGCTAGTATTAATCTGTGGTTTTATACGACTAGTTCTACAATGCACATATTGCTGGCATGCTAGCTTTATGTAACTAGCTCTTTTAAAGTAGTTACTGAGTTTTCTTAGGAATATAATGCCACCCATAAACACACTTGCCTGCTCTGTACAGGACACCTTAATAAAAGGTGTGTGCTCACCCTGAGAACATTGTCTCGGTGTCCCAGATTAGCTCACTGGCTTGGTGGTGAGTGTACAGCTAAACCATGAGATAGAAGTGTGTGGTTTTATCTGTGAGTTGTATGTTTTTGATGTTACAAACCACAGACAGCTTTTTGTAACATGTAGATGATTGAAAAGTCTAAGGATTACTCAGAACAAATAAAATCGTTGTCATCTTTCCATTCTCATGTACTATTTCTTTTACAAGGACCCAATTCCCTTGGAGCATTTAAGAAGACGTTGATGTCAAAGGCAGCTCTCACTCACAAGTTTCGCAAGTTGAGATCCCCCACAAAATGTAGGGATTGTGACGGCATTGTAATGTTCCCAGGCGTTGAATGTGAAGAGGTGAGATCTGTTTGGAATTGCATTGGCCCTCTCACTTGTTTACTTGATTGATTTCCCTGTTTTTACCACTATAGAATATAAAATGAAAGGTTTCTTTGCAGCATCTTCATACATATGTGTCATTAAATAGTGTTGGGTTTTTTCACTATACATTTCATTTTTGTTGGGATTTTATTTATTAGGGTCTTTTGCAAGTACATATTTTTACTTCATTTTTTATTTTATGTGTATTGATGGTTTTCCTACATGTATTTCTGTGCACTAAATGTGTGCAGTGCCTTTGGAGGCCAGAGAAGAGCATTGGATACCCTGGGACTAGAGTTACAGGTGGTTGTGAGCCATCTGTGGATGCTATGGGTTGAATGTTAGCCCTCTGGAAGAGCAGCCAGTGCTTTTAACTACTAAGCCATCTCTTCCACCCCTACAAATGAAGTTTTTAGTAAGTTGTGTTGTAGTATATCGTTTACTGTTTTGTATTTTGTTCTGTTGTTAGGTCTGTTTCAGATATTACAAGTAATGCATTTAAACATGTTTCTAATATGTAACCAATCTATCTATAGTTTGCTCATTGTGAAAAGTTTTAAGAGAACTAATGGGTTTTAAACTGTCACTTTCTTATAGTGTCTTCTTGTTTGTCATCGAAAGTGTTTGGAGAATTTAGTCATTATTTGTGGTCATCAAAAACTTCAGGGGAAAATGCACATATTTGGAGCAGAATTTATACAAGTGGCAAAAAAAGAACCAGATGGCATCCCTTTTGTACTAAAAATATGTGCCTCGGAGATTGAAAATAGAGCCTTGTGTCTTCAGGTACCCATTAAAAAAAATTTTTTAGAGTCTATGTCTTTTGTTCTAATGAAAAGAAAACTATGCTATCAATTTGTAATGGCTGATTTTATTCCACCTTATTTTGAAAACTTTATTTGGCCCTGGCTAAGATTCTTCTGCAGTACCAAAAAAAGTGAAGTAGACACATCAAGTAAGTTTAGATGTCTGCAGTGGCCATTTGAACTAAAGCAGAATTTGTTTCTCTATTCAAGGGAATTTACCGTGTTTGTGGAAACAAAATAAAAACTGAAAAACTGTGCCAAGCTTTGGAAAATGGAATGCACTTAGTAGACATTTCAGAATTCAGTTCACATGACATCTGTGATGTCTTGAAATTATACCTACGACAGGTAAAGTTATTATAGCCTATCATCTTATTGAAACAGTAAAAAATGTGATTTGTGTTTTGTTTTTCAGTTCATAACACACACACACACACACACACACACACACACACACATATATATATATATATATATATATATATATATATTCTTTTTTTTTTTTTATGAGCATTAGTGTTTTGCCTGCCTGCATGTATGCCTTTGTGAGGGTGTTGGGTCGTCTGGAACTGGAGTTACAGACAGTTGTGAGCTGCCATATGAGTGCTGGGACTTGAACCCAGGCCCTCTGGAACCACTGAACCTTATCTCCAACCACCATACACTTGTATTTTCATTAACATAGGCCAAACTGAGGTCTTCTAAATAATAATTTATAGGTCATAGCACAAATAAGTCAGACATATAATTAATAATAATAATAATAATAAAAACTGATTTCTCATCTCAGTATACAACCATAGAATATTATTCCACCTTACAGAAGACTTCTATGTGTCTTTTCCAATTATAGCCTGACTCCATGGAAGCTCTTTCCTAACCATTTAAGGAATAAACATTTTCCTGGACATAAAGAAGTAAATAACATGAAGTGTTTGTATTAAGTTTTAGAAATGTGACTTTGAAAGCATAGTTCAGCTTTGTAAGGAAAGGCCAGTGTTGAACTGTTCCATGAGTATTCAGCAAGCAGAGCAGTGTTTGGATCATGGTTTAGTTTTCTCTTCCCTGATACTTCAAAATATCTATTTTAGATGGTCAGTGGTAAAAGCGGTAAAGTATGCATTTGGGGCAAGAAGCAGAGCTATCCTGTAAGCTGGGTACTAGAAAGCTGACAGGAATATGGTCAGGAAATGGCCATCCTGTATTGTCTTTTTCTGCACTCAGTATTGAATGTGCAATTTGTGGGAGCTGCCTACAAAGAAAACATATCTATGGGGTAAAGTAAGTGTCCTCAGGCAGAAGCTTAGGGAGAAGTTACAGGGATTTGGCATAGTGTTGTGAACCAGGTACAAGAACTCCTTGAGCCAAGCCCCTTTGTCACTCTGTTCTTGGGTGAAACCGAAGAGATTGTAGCAGCAAAGAGAGTAGTGCTGGTAGTGCTCTATATGTCAGCTCTGGGGTTGTATTGTTCCATTCTGGGTCCTTTTGTCCATTTATGCAGCTGCTATCTTGGGATTTCTTTTTGTGAAGAAAATACCCTGTATTTTTGTTTCTGTCCCCGTCCCCATCCTCCCCACCCACCCCGTGTTTTGCTCATTTCTGTCCTTAAACAAGATGGACCTTACTCTCTGTAAATGTTTTTATTCTGTTTTGATGAGACTGGGACAGCGTAGATAGTAACTGTCTGTACTTTTGCTTTGGGGGCTTGGCAACCTGTACTGGCTCTGGAGTATCCTCCCCTGTTTCTGCTCAGTCTCCTGCTTTTACTATCTCAGTACTTTCTAGAAGACTCCCTCAGCATCATCTCTTCCCTCTGCTGTAAACTTCTTTCTCTATTCTCTACAAACTTCTAGACGTCTGTTCCTTCTGATTCATATGACCTTGTGTATTATAGTGGATTTGTTTTAATAAATCAGTGCTAACATTAGGGTAGTAATGAATATAAATATATACATAGATTAGCATTTTATAATCCCTTGTGGAACTTTTAGGTTTAGGGTTTTATTTTTGGTCAGTTAATGTCTTAATTATTTGATTTATGACAGTGATTTCAGACTAACTTAATAGGTCATGTCTGTAGTAAGCATATACATTTAAACTTTTTAAAATGTGTATGGATGTTTTTCCTGCATGTATGTCTGTACCACATGCATGCATGCCTGATGCCCAAGGAGGCCAGAAGCCTATCAGATCCTCTGAAACTGGAGTTACAGAGAGTTGTGAACAACTGTGTGGGAGCTGGGAGTGGAATCTAGGTCCTCTAGAAAAGCAGCCAGTTCTCACTGAGCCCATCTCTCTAGCCCCAGACATACACAGTTAAAGGCCTTCTTTAAAACTTCTTGACCTAAAAAACATGGTGAATCATTGATTAGCTGTGAATAATAGTTAACATTGTAGCAGGAGAAAGAAGATAACAGTATTCATAATGTAATTTTATTTCTTTAGCTTCCAGAACCATTTATCTTATTCAGATTATACAAGGAATTTATAGACCTTGCAAAAGAGATACAACATGTAAATGAAGAGCAAGAAGCAAAAAAGGATAGCCCTGAAGACAGAAAACACCCACATGTGTGCATAGAAATCAACCGAATCCTGCTGAGGAGCAAAGACCTACTGAGACAGTTGCCAGCGTCAAATTTTAACAGTCTTCATTACCTCATAGTACATCTGAAGCGGTAAGGGTTTTATATGAGTAGAGTTCCTTTAGTGGGTAGCTGTTTGTTGATTAAATATAGCCGCTTTTACCATTTTAATACTATGATAGTGTTAAGTACATTTGTGTATTTTTAAATGAATTTCATTTTTCTAACACATTAAAGGAAAGGAAATGAGTGTGTGTTCAGGCAGCAAGCATCATCCTCAGATGTCTGCTGTGTGCCTGGCTCTAGGTGGAGAAACAGGATGGGAACAGGGTTTCTGTCATCTGTGGGCTCACAGGCTTGCATACACATGTACAGTACAGCATCATTTGTTCACAAGGTGGTGTGTTCAGCATGCAAAGGAAGATGGGAAAAGTCAGAGGCATCAGCCCTCAAGTAAGGCTTAAAGAACTCAGTAGTGACTTAGTTGTCCAAGAATGCTCAGAAGAGCATTCCAGGCAGAGGATAACAGACACAGATAGGTGGGAACAGTTTACATTTAGGAAATAAAGTAATGTGCTCAGGCTACACTACAGAATGAGTGCACAGTGTAAACTGATAAGATCTTGAATACCTACCAGTTGAGTTTGCCATCTTGCTTCTGTACTCACTAAAGATTTTTGAACTGGGAATTTTAATTTTACATGTTCAGATTTGCCTGTTAGATCCTTTTGGCAAAAATAAGAATGGGCTGGAGTGGAGGTCTTTACTCAAGTTCTAGTCTCTGTGAATAGTCATAGAAACAAAGGTGACAAGAGCTGGAAGGAGACTGGGAATGTGAGTGACATGTAATGCGGAGGCCTCTCAGGGAGTCATCTAGGCTTGAGAAATAGCCTTGCTTACAGGGAATTGACAGTATTATTCTGTTTCCATTATAAAGACCTGGAAGCATGTACAGAAAAAAAATCTTTAAGGGTGCCTTTTTTCTTTCTACTTGATTTTTATCCTACTACAAAAACAGTATTAAACCAAATTTGGCATGTGGTCAATATTTTAATCAAGTAAATATGTATTTTTCTTAGACCTCTCTCTCAACTTGACCCTTGACCCTTTTATAGGTTTTTGTAGCCTGCCTATGCTCAAACAATCAACATGGTCCCTCAGATGCCTCCTGTGTGCCAGGCTCTGGCTGGAGAAACAGGATGGAAACAGGGTTTCCATCTACTCATGCTAACCCGTAGTAAACTACATGGAACACCTTCAGTAGGCAAGTCTCATAAAGATGTGTGTGTTGTTGCTTTGCAGGGTGGTAGACCATGCAGAAGAAAACAAGATGAACTCTAAGAACTTGGGGGTCATATTTGGACCGAGTCTCATTAGGCCAAGGCCCACAACTGCTCCTGTCACCATCTCTTCTCTTGCTGAATATTCTAACCAGGCACGACTCGTAGAGTTCCTCATCACTTACTCACAGAAGATCTTCGATGGGTCCCTCCAGCCTCAAGATGTTGTTCTAGCCAGTACAGCTGCTGTTTCCCCTCAGCTTGATCAAGGGGATCTTCCAAGACCTCTGTTGTCACCAGATGAAAGAGACTTGGATCGCTCTATGAAACCACTGTTTTTCTCTTCAAAGGATGTAAGTTGTTTAAAAAATTGTATGTGTGTGTACAAGGTTGCACACAAATGAGATGGGCTTGTACATACCATGGCACTGGCTAAAGTCAGAGGACAGCTTTGGGGAGTTGATTTTCACCGCCCACCAGTGTTGAGGCAGGGTCTGCCTGCTTTCCCCTGTGCTCTATGATACAAGATAGCTGAATTGCAAGCTTTGAGCAGTTAGTTCCTGGGTCTCAGCCTCTGGCCTCACTGCATGTAGACCACTAGGAACACAGACATGTGCTACCACATCCAGTCTCTTACATGGGCTCCAGGATCACACTCAGGTTGTCAGGCTTGGGTGAGCAGCACCTTTTCCTGTTAAGCCAAAGTTTTGACTGTTAGAGAATTGCATTAGAACTGAATGGTGTTTTAGGTCAGTAAATTAATGGTCTTCGAACTGTTTCATTTGAAATGTGCTTTGCTTCCATTAGCAGGATTCTCATACTACAGATTATGAGAGCAAAGCTTTTGAATTAGCTACGTCATTTGAAGAATCAGAACGCAAACAAAATGCATTGGGGAAATGTGATGCTTCTCTTGTTGGTGAGTAGCCATGTGAAAAAAAGCTGGGTATGAAATTAAAACTTTACAAATAAACCATTGTTAAAAGTCAGGTTCAGTTCCCAGTGCTGCAGAAACCAACGCAAGCCAAGGAAAGTGAAGTTAAGGGAATTCCAAACCTCCATATTTTATTACTTAACAAATCTATGTCAGTCACTAAGAAAGTTACCTTTGAGTGAACCTTGCATCTTTATATTATTTTTTCCATTTGTGTGTGTGATGTGCATGTGTATGCATCTGTATGTGGGCACATGTGTATGGATGCCCAGGGTTGGTGTCAGCAATCTTCTTTGATCACTCTCCTACCTTCCTTATTAAGGCAGTGTCTCCTAATCAAACCAGTGCTTGCTAATAGGGCTAGTCCCGGTTGCCAACTTGCTCCGCTGATCTCGCCCCTCTGAGGCTGGAATCATAGGCAAGCTGCCAACCATCCCCAACCTTAACATGGGTTCTAGGAAAGTGTACACTGGTCCTCACTGTGGGACTAGTGCTTTAACAACTGAACCTTCTCCCCAGCCCTCTACCTTACAGTTATAAAAGCTGCCTAAGTGGGTTCTGTGCCTCTGCAAGTTTTGTTTTGCTTTGGTTTTGCTTCTTACTCAAAGTCAAGATGGTGTACTAATGGATAATATGTTTTGTAATGTGAGTGAAAGTATTGCTAAATTTAACTGCTAATAGGCTGCCTGAGCCCTAAAGGTGGGATTAGAAAGATATCTTGATGATTTAGAGCACTTGGTAGAGTTGCTCTTGCAGAGGACCCAGGTTTGATTCCCAGCACCTACATGGTAGCTTAAAACCATCTGTAACAGTTTCAGAGGATCTGATACCCTCTTCTGGACTTCACTGGCCCCAGGCATTCATATAGTGCACATAAGAACATGCAGCAAACACTCTTACACATAAAATCAAATAAATCTGAAAAAACTTTTTTTGTTTTTGTTTCTTTGAGACAGGGTTTCTCTGTGAAGCTCTGGCTGTCCTGGAATCATCCTGTAGACCAGGCTGGCCTTGAACTCACAAAGAGTTTCTATGAGGCCTCTGCTTCATGAATGCTTGGTGGTCGTACACCACCACTACCAGGCTTCTTTTTTCATTTTTGAAGAGTTCTAGAAGTGGAAAAGTTTAAACTCCAAACATTTCCATCTGCTTTTCTTGTGGACTCCCTTGCACTCTGCACACACAGGCGTACATTGTTCATTTCTTTGAGCTGGTATCTCCGTCAGCAGCTTTCCTCTGATCTGCTTGAATGGAAGCTGTCATTGATAAAAAAAAAAAAAAGGCTTGCATTTTTGCTATAACTCTGTAATCCAGTTTGGCAGAAAGGTCAGATTTGCTGTGTGATCAACATGAAGGAGCACAGCCTGAGGAAGGGAGGGGACCTACAACTTTTCTGTTGATGCTGTACGTGGGTTGTGCCCATAACACCTGAAAGAACAACTCCCTTGAGGGAGGGACACAGGGAGGGTGAGGGTAATATACAGTCCCCAAGGACATGTCACTTATGACCTACATCCTCCAGCCAGACCCTGCCTGCTGTATCAACTTACCAACAATGCCATTATAATATGAATCTATCAAAAAAATTAATACAAGACCAGCAAGTTGCTCCATCAGATAAAGGCACTTGGCCTGGTGTCAAGAGAAGCAACTCCACAGAGTTGTCCTCTAATCGCCTTAGGCATGCCATGCACATACACACAATGATTTTTTTTTAATAAATTAATCTATTTATTGGCTTAGATCCATCATGACTCTAATAACCTCTAGAAACACTATTGTAGTAACCCCTACAGGTCTGCTGTTCAACCCAGTAAGTTGACAGTTAAGATTAATATCACATCCCATTACTCAGATTTGATCTTCGTAGCAATTCTGTACTGGAAAGTGGATAGCATTGGTCTTGCAGTCTGAGAGAAAAAAAAATGATATCAAAAGTCATATGCTGAAATGAATTATTCAGATAGGATTTGAATCTAGCTCTGATTTATAAATCTAACCTAATTTTTTGTTTTTCACTACCCCATGAAATTAGATTCCCAATTAGGAATAGTAATATACATAAATAATTTGAAGATTTTTTTTTTTTTTAGTATTTATTATATACAAGATAATTCCAGGTACTTTTCTTGTTGGACCATTTAGAACACATGACAACTTAGATACATATATTCTTGTGTGACAGGCAGGGACATTTCCAGTGAAGAACAGGATCAAGAACTGACCAGGCAGCTGACTTAGAGCCCATGCTATTTTCTACTATGCTAGTGGCTCTCCTTGCAGAACTGAAGGAATGCATGCGCTTTGGTTCTGGCAGGCCAACTGCAGTGAGTCAGGTCCCTGAGAATATTCAGTGACCATGGGGAAGGACCAGGGAAGTAGATTTCAGGAGCATTGTTTTGGAGCCCAGGGAAGAAAGATCATCTGGGGACTGGAGAGATGGCTCATGGGGGAGAGGGGGAGCGCTTGCTGAGTTGGCCTGCATTCGGTTCCCAATGCTCACAGCTGCCTGGAATTTCAGCTCAAGCTCCAGAGGGATCCAACACCTAACCTCTAAGAGTACATGTATATGTGCTCACAGACACATCATGTTTAGTAAATAAAAGGTTACCAGTCCAAGGTGAATAGAGGTCAGATGAGAAGATGACTGGCAAGTGATGCTGTTGGTCACCTGTATACCATGTCCAGCATGTCTAGAAATGTGAAACAGTGTCAGGTAACAGAATGGAAGACTCAAGCCATACACAGGCCCGTGGCCAGCTGCTATTCAGAATCAGAACAGTGTCAGGGTACCAAAACAATTGCTGTGTCTTAACATCAGGGAGTTGAGGGCCAAAAGCAGCTAGTTCAGGACCTTTGCAGGAATTGGAAAAGACAGAATTTGGGGAGGTGAGGACTCAAAGTGTGGCCTTGACACCACCTGCGAATGAGTGTTTTACTTTGTCTTAGTTTGACCTAGAAGGTGATAGGGTTTATTAGCTCTGAGAGCTGTGGCTTGGTGAACACCCCCTCATTGTGGAATGAATGTAGCTAAAACAGACCAAGTGAGGTGTCTTGAGATCTTGAGATTCAGAGTACACTGCATTTGGTTGGCCTAAGGTGATGTAATTTTTCTGAGTTAACTCACCAATGTCTGCCTGTGGAATCTTTTGACCTAGAAAATACTTGTTGATGGGGGAGCACATTAAAACAAATTACTAGACAAGTAGTTTTTGTGTTTTGTTCTGTTTTTAACTGATTTGTAAATGCTTTGTGGTTGATTTTTACATAAAGCTTTAAATGAACTTTTAAATTCATACAGAAAACAGAACACCATGCTGGGGACATTTTGTTAACTATCTGTTGTCTGTCATACTCAGATTCTGGTGCTAATCATGTGCCACTTTCTTTTTCAGGCAACAAAGTACATTTGCATTTTGACCAAGAGCTTGAATCAGCATCCCAAAAGATGGAAGATGTCTGTAAAAGCCCGAAGCTGCTGCTTCTGAAATCTGATAGGTCAGCAAACAGCGTGCAGAGACATAGTCCAAGGACCAAGATGAGACCTGTAAGTTTGCCTGTAGACCGGCTGCTGCTGCTAGCAAGTTCTCCTACTGAGAGGAGCAGCAGGAATATAGGAAATGGAGAGTCAGACAAGTTTGGCAAGAATCCTCCCTTTGAAGGACTTCACAGAAAAGACAACTCAAATACTACTTGTTCTAAAGTTAATGGCTTTGACCCGCAAAATCTACAGAAATCCTGGGATAAACAGTATGAACAGAACAGTTTTACTGCCAAGACTACGATGATTGTGCCCAGTGCACACCCTGAGAAGGGATTGACAGTAAACGTTGTCAATAATGAGGACCATTCCGGTAGTGCCGCCCAGTTTAGTAACCCTTATACAGATCCAGCCAGGTCGGCAAGAGACACATCAGAACGGAGGTCCTCTGATTGCTGTCCTGTCGCTGCTCTCAGAGCACCCAGAACACTGCAGCCTCAGCACTGGACAACGTTTTACAAACCACCTAACCCCACCTTGAGTGTCAGGGGGACTGAGGAGAAAACAGCAGTACCCTCGGCAACTGTGCCCTCAGCAGCTGCATCTCCTGTCCTGGTGCGCGTTCCCCAGATTCCTGTGGCAAAACCAGACCCAGACTCTAGGGTCACGTCGGCTTGTTCTGTGCAGTCAAGTGCTCAACCCAAAGAGAACTGTGAGGAGCCTGGCCTGCCTGAGGGGACTCCGGCCTGCCAGAGACCACGACTAAAACGAATGCAGCAGTTTGAAGACCTTGAAGATGAAATCCCACAGTTTGTGTAGGGTTGTCAAAAGTCAAAATTCAGACTTTCTTTTTTGGGTTTTTTGTTTTTTTTTTTTTTTTTTTTTTTTTTGGTTTGGTTTTTGTTTTGTGAGAGCAATGTTTGGACAGGGCCCTTTTGTACGGGATTGCCAAAGCTATTTGTCTGTGTTGTTTGTTGATCATGTAAGATGGGAGACTGTTCTGACAAGGCTGCATTTATGCCTCACTGGAATGATCTTTAAAGTTGTAAAGAAAATGTGTGGATTTGTGTTTTTTAGAAGTGATTTTTCCCACAAAATTATCCATTGAAATTCATCCTTAATATATGATAGTTTTTAAAAAGCAGGAGGTTCAGTTGGGGAAAATCATTGCGGAGTGAGATCAAGTGCATATTTATAAAGTATTTCTGAACACTAGTTCCTGGGCGATGCTGTGTGCTGTGATTCCCACACAGTGTCACAGGGCATCTTTAACCATTGTGCTTATAGTTGTATGTAAGCTTTTATTTTTTCAATTGGAAATTCACCTCTTAATATTTACATAATGGCCAAGGTGGTTGCCAGTCTGTATTTAATTATATTTTAATTGCTAATTTTTACATGTGGTTTAGTTGTACCCCAAAAAATGCACTTAAACCTGAACTGTTTAGTTCTGTTACCTTTTATTTGGCTGTAGATGTCTTTAGTACATTTGGTAGGGCTTTGAGGGTTTTGTTTTGTTTTATCTCTTAGTTTTGTCTCTGTAAACTTTTGTTTTTCAACAGTTCTGAACTTATAAATATTTTATATAGTGGTCCAGAAAAGATGCTATTTTCAGAAGTTTTTAAATTCAGTACATTTCCTTTTTATTGCCCGGGTTTTGTTTAAACTGCTCCTTTTATAAGAAATGTTTTAACTTACGAATTATTTTATATACTTTTTCTACCTGACTTTCAACCATTGGAAATGTATAGTTCATTCAAATGAGTGAGTTTAGAAATTTTAGAAAAGTTGTAGGTGATCACATCTGTTTCTTTAAAACAAAACAAAAACACCTTGTGCATTCCTGTTACCATCTGTGCCATTGATTTGTCTAAAATAGGATGTAAAAGGGACAAAGTACAGTAGTCTTTGTATGTATTAATTATATTATGCTTTTGTATGACCTTGTTATATTTGATAAATATATGTACATATTCACTTGTTAAATTATTTCAGGTTCTCATGTCTTGTCTGACACTACATTACTATTGACTTAGGGTCAGCATTTGGGGTCATGAATCTCTTAACTACAACATGGAGTGTTTTGTGACACGTTGTGTTGGCATCTGTGCCATGCAGAACTAGGGAGAGATGAGTAACGGGCTTTTTCATGATGAAACTTTGGGTTTTTTGTTTTTTTGGGTTTTTTTACGATAATATTTTTTATTTAAATTTGAAACAAGCTTGTTTTACATGTCAATCCCAGTTCCTTCTCCCCTCAACTTCTCCCCTGTCCCCCCCCCAAACCCCCATCTCATCCCTTTCCGCTTCCCAGGAAGGGTGAGGCTTTCCATGGGGAGTCTTCAAAGTCTGTCATATCATTTGGAGCAGGGCCCAGGCCCTCACCCATGTGTCAAGGCTGAGAGAGTATCCCTCTATGTGGAATGGGCTCCCAAAGTATTGATCCACTACTAGAGGCCCATAGACTGCCCAGTCCTCCTAACTGACACCACATTCAGAGGGTTTGGGTCAGTCCTATGCTGGTTTCCCAGCTGTCAGACTGGAGTCCATGAGCTTCAGATCAGCAGTTTCTATGGGTTTTTCCAGCCTGGTCTTGACTCCTTTGCTCATCGCTCCTCCCTCTCTGCAACTGGATTCCAGGAGTATGGCTCAGTGTTTAGCTGTGGGTGTCTGCTTCTGCTTCCATCAGCTACTCTATGATGGCATATAACGTAGTCATCAATCTCATTATAGGGAAAGGGCATTTAAGGTACCCTCTCCACTATTGCTTAGATTATTAGTTGAGGTCATCTTTCTAGATCTCTGGACATTTCCCTAGTGCCAGATTTCTCTTTAGACCTATAATAGCTCCCTTTATTATTGTATCTCTTTTCTTGCTCTCCTCTATCCCTGACTCAGTCTTCCTGATCCCTCATATTCTCTTTTCCCCTTCTCTTTCTCCTAACTCAGTCTTCCCTTCCCCCCCCCCCATGCTCCCAATTTTCTCAGGAGATCTTGTCCCTTTCCCCTCCTCAGGAGAGGACCATGAATGTCTCTCTTAGGGTCCTCCTTGTTTCCTAGCTTTTCTGGCAGTGTGGATTGTAGGCTGGTAGGCTGGTAATCCTTTATGTCTAAAATCCATACATGAGTGAGTACATCCCACGTTTGTCTTTTTGTGACTGGGTTACCTCACTTAGGATGGTTTCTTCTACTTCCATCCTTTAGCCTGTAAATTTCACAATTCCATTGTTTTTGGTTTTTTTGTTTTGTTTTGTTTTGTTTTTTTTGTTTGTTTTTTGTCTGCTGAGTAGTACTCCATTGTGTAAATTACCACATTTTCTTTATTCATTCTTCAGTTGAGGGCCATTTAGGTTGCTTCCAGGCTCTGGCTATTACAGATAATGCTGCTATGAACATAGTTGAACAGATGTTCTTGTTGCATGAATATGCATCTTTTGGATATATGCCTAAGAGTGAAATTGCTGGACCTTGTGGTAGACTGATTCTCAATTTTTGTGAGGAATCACCATACTGATTTCCAAAGTGGCTGTACAAGTTTGCACTCCCACCAGCAGTGGAGGAGTGTTCCCTTTCTCCACATCCTCTCCAATATAAGTTGTCATTGGTATTTCTAATTTTAGCCATTCTGACAGGAATAAGATGATATCTCAGAGTTATTTTGATTTACATTTGCCTGATGGCTAAGGATGTTGAGCACTTTCTTAAGTGTCTTCCAGCCACTTTAGATTCCTCTATTGAGAATTCTTTGTTTAGTTCTATACCCCACTTTTCAATTGTATTATTTGGTGTTTTGGTGACTAGCTTCTTGAGTTCTTTGTATATTTTGGAAATCAACCCTCTGTCAGATGTAGGGTTGGTGAATATCTTTTCCCATTCATTCGGCTGCCATTTTGTCTTGTTGACTGTGTCCTTTGCCTTAAAGAAGCTTCTCAGTTTCAGGAGGTCCCATTTATTAATTGTCGATCTCAGTGTCTGTGCTGCTGGTGTTTTGTTCAGGATGTGGTCTCCTGTTCGTTCAAGGGTACCTCCCACTTTCTCTTCTAAGAGGTTCAATATGGCTGGATTTATGGTGAGGTCTTTGATCCATTTGGACTTAAGCTTTGTGCTTGGCAATAGGTATGGATCTATCTGCAGTCTTCTACATGCCATAATCCAGTTATGCCAGTACCATGTGTTGAAAATGCTTTCTTTTTTCCATTGTATTTTAGCTGCTTTGTCAAAAATTAGGTGTTTGTAGGTTTGTGGGTTAATATCAGGATTTTCAATTTGATTCCATTGGTCTACCTGTCTATTTTTGTGCCATTACCAAACTGTTTTAACGACTATAACTCTATTGTTTTTCCATATAAGGTTGAGTATTGTTCTTTCGAGATCTGTGAAGAATTGTGCTGGGATTTTGATGGGGACAGCGTTGAATTTGTAGATTGCTTTTGGGAAGATTGCCATTTTTACTATGTTGATCCTTCCTGTCCAGGAGCATGGGAGATCTTTCCATTTTCTGGTAACTTCTTTAATTTCTTCCTTTAAAGACTCAAAGTTCTTATTATATAGGTCTTTCATTTATTTGGTTAGGGTTACCCCAAGATAGTTTATGTTTGTGGCTATTGTGAAGAGTGATGTTTCTCTGATTTCTTTCTCAGCCCCTTTATCCTCTGTATGTAGTAGGGCTACTGATTTTTTTTTTTTTTTTTTTGAGTTAATCTTGTATCCTGCCACTTTGCTGAAGGTGTTTTATCAGCTGTAGGAGTTCCCTAGTAGAGTATTTTTGGTCACTTATGTAAACTATCATATCATCTGTAAATAGTGAAAGTTTGACTTCTTCCTTTCCAATTTGTATCCCCTTGATCTCTTTTTGTTTTCTTATTGCTCTCGCTAGAACTTCAAGTACAATATTGAAGAGATATGGAGAGAGTGGACAGCCTTGTCTTATTTCTGATTTCAGAGGAATCTCATCTAGTTTCTCTCTATTTACTTTGATGTTGCCTGTTGGTTTACTGTATATTGCTTTTATTAGGTTTGGGTATGTTTCTGTTATTCCTGATCTCTCCAAGACCTTTATCATGAAAGGGTGTTAGATTTTGTCAAAGGCTTTTTCAACATCTAGTGAAATGATCATGTGGTTTTTCTTTTTCAGTTTATTTATATTGAGGGATTCCTTTATGTTGAACCATCCCTGCATACCTGGGATGAAGCCCACTTGGTCATGGTGGATGATTTCTCTGATGTGTCCTTGGATTCAATTTGCCAGTATTTTATTGAATCATTTCACATCAGTGTTCATGAGGGATATTGGTCTGTAGTTCTCTTTCTTAGTTGTGTCTTTGTGTGGCTTGGGTACCAAGGTAACTGTAGCCTCGTAAAAAGTTTGTCAATGAACCTGATTCTATTGCGTGGGACACTTTGAGGAATATTGTTATTAGCTGTCCTTTGAATTTCTGGTAGAATTCTGCACTTGAAACCATTTGGCGCTAGGCTTTTTTTTTTTTTTTTTTTTTTTTTTTTTTTTTTGGTTGGGAGTCTTTTGATGACTACTTCTAAGTCATTATGGGTTACAGGTCTATTTAAATTGCTTATCTGTTCTTGATTTAATTTTGGTAAGTGATATCTATCCAGAAAATTGTCTATTTCCATTAAATTTTTGAATTTTCTGGAGTACAGGTTTTCAAAGTATGACCTGAAGATTCTCTGGATTTCCTCAGTGTCCATTGTTCTGTCCCCCTTTTCATTTCTGATTTTGTTAATTTGCATGTTCTCTCACTGTCTTTGGGTTAGTTTGGATAAAGGTTTGCCTATCTGGTTGGTTTTCTTGAAGATCCAACTCTTTGTTACATCGATTCTTTGTATTGTTTTCCTAGTTTCTATTTTACTGATTTCTGCCCTCATTTGATTATTTCCTGGCATCTACTCCTCCTGGATGAGTTTCCTTCTTTTTGTTCTAGAGCTTTCAGTTGTGCTGTTAATTCTCTAATGTGACTATTCTCCACTTTCTTCATATGGGCACTTAGTGCTATGAACTTTCCTCGTAGCACTGCTTTTAAAGTGTCCCATAAGTTTGGGTATGCTGTATCTTCATTCTCATTGAATTCTAGGAAGTCTTTAATTTCTTTATTTCTTCCTTGACCCAGGAATTGTGCAATTGCACATTGTTCAGTTTCTACGAGTTTGTAGGGTTTCTGCAATTTGGGTTGTTGTTGAATTCTAACTTTAAAGCATTGTGGTCTGATAAGATACAAAGGGTTATTCCAATGTTTTTTGTATCTATTGAGGTTTGCTATATTGCCAAGTATGTGGTCGATTTTAGAGAATGTTCCACATGGCACTGAGAAGAAGGTATACTCTTTTGTGTTTGGATGGAATGTTCTATTAATATCTGTTAAACTCAATTGGGTCATAACTTCTATTAGTTCCTTTGTTAAGTTTCTGTCTGGTGATCCTGTCTAGTGGTGAGAGTGGGGTGTTGAAATCTCCCACTATAAATGTGTGAGGTTTTATGTGCGATTTGAATTTTAGTAATATTTCTTTTATGAATGTGGGTGCCTTTGTATTTTGCGCATAGATAGATGTTTAGAACTGAGACTGAGGAATGGGAGACGGTACTCTTTTTTTTTTTTTTTTCTGTGACAAAATGCCTGAGACAGACAACTTAAAGGTGGCAAGGTTGGTTTGGGCTCATAGTTTCACGGGTTTCAGTTCATGGTTGGCTGGCTCCATTGTGTTGGATCTGAACTGAGACAGATCATCATGCAGAGAGTACGTGGGTGCTGTCCCTATGACAGTCAGGAAAGAGAGCAATGGACCAGTCTTTCAGTGGTATATCTCCTCCATTCCTCCAGCCAGGCCCCTCCTTCCGGTCCCTGCCACTTCGTAATAGTCCATTTAGCTATGATGTGTCAGTGACTGAAGGCCACCATGATCAGTGACCTCTAAACGAGGCCAAACTGGGAGCAAGCCTTCAACACTCAGCCTTTCTGAGGCATGGTAGGTCCAAA